AAAATAGATAATAAAGCACTGAAAACATTTTTGAAAAATGAAAATTGGTACCATGTATTAGGCACTGATGACCCACAGTTAGCCACCAATAAGTTCTCAAATACTTTCAGTAGTTTTATGGATAGAGCAAAAATTGAAAAAATATTTACGAAAAAGAAAAAAAAGATAAAGCCGTGGATAAGCGAGGGCCTGATCATATCAATAAAAAATAGAGATAAAATGAAAAAAATATTGAATCGACATTATTCCCGTGCACTAGAGCAACAATATAAAACATATAGAAACGAGTTAAATAGGCTCATAAAAAAAGCAACATGACTTCTATCAAAATCAGATTTAAAATAATAAACACGATCTTAAAAAAAATTACCGAATAATTTCAGAAGCTACAAATGAGAAAACTCGCTCAGAAAATTCATTGCACCTCACCAATGATGAGGGTCTCCTTTTAACAGACAATAATCGGAAAAAAAATTGAACTGCCAGTGAACTTTTCTGATAGACACATTTTAAATGCAGATTCGATGTTTTTGAATACCGTAACAGAGAATGAAATAATTAAACAAATATCCACATTAAAAAACTCCTGTGCCCCTGGATTGACGGAATTACTACTGAAATGATAAAGATAAAGGATAATAATCAATATATTCTTAAGCCCCTCGTTCATATAATTAATCTAATTTTTACTAAAGGAATTGTTCCAACACAGTTTAAAACTTCTATCGTAACCCCTATTCATAAGGCTGGTGATAAAAAAAAGATTAGTATCTACAGGCCAATAAGTGTGATGAGCAATTTTGGAAAAATTTTTGAGAAGTGCCTGAAAGTCCGTCTGGTATCGTTTTTAAATAGATACAATATTTTGCACGAGTGACAATTTGGCTTTCGCGATGGCAAATCTACAAGGGATGCCATGTGTTCTGTTTTATTGGAAGTACTGGAATGTTTAGACATAAACAAGAAATGCATCTCTGTTTTCCTCGATTTGGCGAAGGCGTTCGATACTGTTAACCACACTAGACTTATTAGTACTCTAGAGCGCTCTGTCATACGTGGCTTGGTGTTGGACGTCTTTCGGAGCTATTTGACAGATAGAAACCAGTATGTAAGAATTGGTGATGCACTTAGTAATCCAGAAACTATTAAAATAGGTGTTCCTCAAGGAACAGTCCTTGGGCCCATACTCTTTTTGCTGTATATCAATTCATTGTTATCTTTTATTACTGACGTAAAAATTGTTGTGTATGCAGACGATACAGTGGTAACATTTAAGAGTGCAACATGGGAGGAAACCAGGTTGGTTGTGCAAATGGGCATGGAAAAAATTTAAAATTGGCTAAACTTCAACTATTTGTTGCTGAACTTTGATAAAACACACTATCTTGCCTATACTCTATCAGATGCTAACAAGCCATATATAATAGTATCAGTGTTCAGGGCATGGATGAGCACATTGGGGAGGTAAGTGAGATTAAGTACTTGGGCATAATTTTAGATAGGAATTTGAAATGGACGAGTTATGTGAACTACCTTACAAAAAGAGTGAGAAAGCTCATCTACAAGTTTTATCAGATGCATGATTTTCTCTCAAAAAGTTTACTATTATTAATTTACAAATCTCTTGCTGAATCACTGTTTTGCTATGGCATTTTGGTTTAGGGAGGAATGTATGCTAACGCACTGCAAAAGCTGAATGTAATTCAAAACTACATATTGAAAATAATTTATAGAAAACAAAGAAGATATACTACTAGTCTGCTCTATACAGAGGAGGTATGTAATATTCGCACCTTATATTTTCATAAAATATGTATCCATGCATTCAAAAATCTCCCTACTCAAATTCAATGTAACTATGTGTATCAAACTCGTAGTACATCGAATGAGTTATTGTCAACTCGTAGATTTAATAAAAATATTTCCCATAGATTCTTCATTTATACTGTCCCTAAAGCTTTCAATATATTGCCAATGGAGATCAGAAAAATCCAGAAATATAAATTATTTGCAAGGGAATCGAAAAATAGTATATTGTTATATTAGGAGTAGAAGCTTTACTTTTTTGTGCTGAAGCAGTAGGTTTGCGAGCCGAACGTAGTGAGCTGATTCTCATCAGCTAACTAGCCACATTCATCCCTTAAAATGCCAGACAAAAAAAAATGACTCCACTAAACAGGCCCTATCTCAGAGTCTATTATGGGTAAAATATGTCTATGAGTGAAATAATCTAAGGGTGAAATGCAAAAAAATTTACCTATAAGCGAGCCTATAAGCTGATGCTTCAAATTCTTGAAGCTTATACTACACTAACAAAGCATTTACTACTCCTCATAGCATAAGTTACAGAAAGTAGTGAATGCCTTGTAATACTACTTTCTATGCTGGAAATTTTAATGTGTTTGTAGATGTCATTAATGTTGTTTTAAATCATATATTTAGTTTAAAAAAATATGTCATTATTACAGGCGATTTTAACATACACTTTGAAAGGGATTATAATGAAAAAAATTGTTTCTTGGATGTTGTCGGGTCATACGATTTTGCGCAGCAAATCTTTACTAGCACTAGGTTAGATCACTGTATTGATAATCTGTTTTTAAATTTTAGCTACCTGAATAATTTTAAATCAAATGTTTTTAACCCTGTATTGTCAGATCACTCTGCTATAGAGTTTCTTTGGAATGTCAACTTTTTAATTGAAAAACCATACAAACCAAAAACAAATAGTATTTGCCGTCCCATAACCAATCGAGGAAAATTTCTCTTTTACAATATGCTTGAAGGGGAAACCTGGGGGTTTTTAAATTGTGATATTTCTGTAAATGATAAATGTAATCAGTTTTTTGATAAGTTTTTAGCCATGAGAGGTGTTGCATTCCCTGAAGTTCAGCGACGCTCTGAAAAATCCTCGGCAGATGGGGTACAGTGGTTTACCCCACAGCTTCAGGTGATGAGGCATGAAATACAGGTGCTGAATGATATGTGTCAGGAATCTTACTGTCCACTGCTGCGTAGTGAGTTGAGGGCATCAAGGCGTATCTATAGGGGGGCAATTGTGGAGGCAAAGAAGTCTGCAAATTCAAATTACATTAGGAATGCAGATAACACTGCAAAAGCATCTTGGGATGTTATCAATGCTAGCAGAGAGAAATCTAAATCAATTGTCCCGGATATTCAACCAAATGAGTTTAACGACTTCTTTGCTGACATTGCGGACAGGTTAGTTAATTCCCTGCCGCGGGCGGCTATTCCGTTTGATACTTACCTAAATATTGCCGGTACTGTGGATCCCAACCTTATCTTCTCTTTTAGACAGGTGACATATATTGACGTTAGGAATGCAATAGACTGGTTGAAGAATAAACATAGTAAAGATATTTATGACCTTAATATTACCCTTATTAAATCTATGAAGGATGTGCTGATCTCTCCTCTTACAAGGTTGTTTAATGCCTGTATTAATGACTGCACCTATCCTCATGCTTTCAAAATAAGTAAAACTGTACCAATTTTTAAGACTGGAGATCGCTGCTCTGTAAATAACTATAGACCAATTTCACTTATTCCTGTGATATCAAAAATTTTTGAATTGCTTCTTAAAAACCAGCTATGTGAATACTTTGAAACAAACAATCTCCTGTCTGCAGATCAATTTGGTTTTCGAAGGGGAAGGTCCACAGTGATGGCAGTTAACAAACTGTGCGAAGCCATAGTCGGGGGCTTTGAGGAGGGCAAGTTTGTGGGAGCCACCTTTTGCGACCTCTCCAAAGCCTTCGACTGTGTCTCGCATGGGACTCTTGTGGCCAAGCTGAAGTATTATGGTGTTGCCGGGTGTGCTTGCAGTCTCATACAAAACTATCTCGCAGATAGGCGACAGATAACAAGTGTCAATGGTGAGAGCTCAGAGAGTAGGGTGATGCTACATGGGGTCCCCCAAGGTTCCATACTAGGACCTTTGCTTTTCATAATCTACATAAATGATATAAAATCTGCGCTGCAGCACAGCGAGGTGACACTGTATGCGGATGATACCAGCTTCTTGGTGGCGAAGGGGGAGTTCAACGCTTTGTGTGAGGAAGCGAGCGACTGTGCCGAGAGTGTGGGTGACTGGTTTCTTGCCAATGGGCTTTCTCTCAATCAAACCAAAACCGAGAATATAACCTTTACCTTAAGACGAGATGAAGAGATCAGTAATCCTACTCAGATAAAATTTCTGGGAGTCATGCTTGACCCCAAACTTACTTTCGAGTGCCATGTAAACCATATCTCCAAGAAAATTACATCTGGAATATATGTACTTAGAAATCTGTGTAGGACCACCAATTTGAGTGTCGCTCTAATGGCCTACCATGCTCTGGTCCATTCCGTCATTTGCTATGCTCTGTTAGCCTGGGGACATTCGGCTCATGCCTCTAGAGTGTTTGGTTTGCAGCGGAGGGCAGTGAGAGTTCTGGCTCATGTCGGATATCGAGATGACCCCAAACAGTTTTATCGTGATTTTCAGATTCTAACAGTACCATCACAATACATTTATGACTGCCTACTGTACATGCACCGTAATTTGCATAATTTCGCGGCTCTGGGTGAAACACACCATCATGATACCAGACATCGCGACAATATTAGGATTAATTTTCTCAGACTAGGAACATCAAGGAATGCAACACTTTATTTTGCTCCTGTCTTTTATAATAAGTTGCCTGTCTCTGTAAGAGAGTTGACAGCTCAGCGATTCAAGTCTGTAGTTAAGAAATATTTGTTAGGCCAGATTTTTTATCATTATAGGGAATTTCTGGATAGGGATGTTGCTGCTGACTTTGATCTACTGTTGTGACACTGTGTTTTATTTGATTGTTTAATTGATAAATTAGTATCTATGATAAATGACAAATGTAAAAATTTATAAATTTGTATACATGATTATTTAATAAATAAAATAAATATGCATTCCACAAACAGCAATAATAAAGTTAACTGAAACCTCGACTGAAACTTACCAAACAGGGCTTCTCTTGTAGCAATAGGATTGTTAAATTCATCATATTTGCTGATACTTGTGATTCCTAAAACTGTTTTGATGCCCATAATGCGTTTTTGGTAATTTTTAAGAGAATCTATCGAGGTTCTAAAAGAAAATGTGTTGAGTCATCACTAGTTAGTTACTGTGACCACTTTCAGGACAGGAGACTCACTCTGCATTCTTTTTTATGTCCTGTACCATTTCCTCCAGGGTGTTAACATATTTTTCCAATCTTTCGTCGTCCTTTTGGGTTTTGCACATCAGTTCGCATTTTGTTAGCAATCTTCTCAAATTTATTTCTTGCCTAGGGAGTCCAACCATTGAACTGGATAATTTTACGAAAGGATAACTAAGACCTGTGGCTCACGTACTAGTAAAGAGCAATAATTATCTGTTATAAATAGTTATGTGACGTGTATATTTTAATATTGTAAAATGTTTGAGAAAAAAGAAAAACACTTAAAATTGAGGTTAGGATCAAAAAGTTTCTTCTTTTTTACTTATACATTGCTGGCGCCATATACAAAACTACTGACATCTCTCTTTAAATCACAATCTAAACAAGGATAGATACAAATACAAGTAAATCATCATTCATAACATAACCTCAATAAAATCAAATCGAAATCAGTTTGTTGTTTGACTCCTAAACAGATTGAAGGTGATTTTAATTTAAAATTTAAACTGTTCTAGTAAATTTAAATTAGCTATAATGTTTTCAATACTAAAACAATTCAGTAAATATCCGCGAAATTGGAAATTCCTCTCTACAAACGTACGTTATTTTTCAAGAACGATAACGGGCGATAGACTACAGCCCCTAAATGAAGACACCCTCACTGGACGATTTTTACTATATCTGGATAACAATAAAGCCTGTAAAGATGTAAGCAATAAAGATAGGGCTACTTTGATAGCCAAATTAAAATTACAGCCAGCACATATTAAAACTTTCGATGCTGGTCTAGTCATGTCAGTATTAAGCTGTCTCACAAAGCGAACGATTGTATCTAATAAGTACGATTTCAATAAATTACTGCGTATAATAGACTTGGAATGTTGCAGTAGATTAGATAAGCTAAAAACTGACGACGTTATTAGTCATTTGTGTTGCTTCATGAATGTTATCCCACATCAGATAACACAGTGCCAGTATTTTCATATGGCTTTAGATAAACTAATGGACAAACAATACGAACTTATGAAAGAGCAATTAATACAATTGATATTTTTTATTGGGTTTTTAAAAAAGACTTCCAAAGCACAAAGTATGCTTAAAAAATGCTTGAAATCGTTCAAAAATGACCTTATTAATAGCTTAACCAAAGAGGATTTATGTATTATTTGCAATTCAACTTTCAAGACAAGCACAAAAATAAGAAATCATGTTTTATTAGATAAAATCAAATTGTACATAAACGATAATTTACTATTATTAAACGATCCCGCAATTTTTGTGACTTTAATCAAAACACTAAGGCACAATCGATATCAAGACGATGATATTTTAAACACCATCACTTGCACAGTGTTTTTCAACAAAACCATTCAATATTATTCGTTTGGAGCTTTATGCCACATTTTGGCACTTTACGCCGACTATTTGTATTATAATGAAGACATTTTAAAATCATTTACAAACAAATGCTTGGAGATTTTAAAAAATTCAACATTCACCACCAAAGATGCTTATTTAAAAGAGCAACCTCGTACAAAGGATATTAAAAGATTATTATGGGCTTTGAGTAATTTGAATTATAAGCTTAGCAAAGAGGATATTGAAGGGATTGTTATGCCAGAAATTTCCATTAGAATTGAGGCAGGTGAATTTAAAAACGACCCTGGTTCTATGGTGCAAATTATTATGTATTTATGGATGATGCGGTATAAAGCATATGATTTAATTCATCAGTTTCTAAATAAGGAGGTTGTTAGTTTAATCAGAGGTAAGTGGATTCTTTTGTGTGGTCTGTTATTTATTTTAGGATTTTCAGCCAAAAATATGCCTTGCCAAGATAGTTTAAATTTATTACTCACCTGTATTTATTATGAAGATCCCGAATTGTACCAACAAATAAATATACAACCAGAGAATCGGAGAAATTATAATTCAAAAATACAACTAAACAAAAGGCCCGAGTTGACTAAAATATTAAACAAACTAAAAGTTATATCTGCAGGCAATGATATTGATAAATTTGAAATCGATTGCCAAGTGCCTTATATTAATATTATTGGGATAATCGGGTTTCAAAAGAAAATTTACAAGACTGTTAATATTGAGTTGTTAGACCAATATACTTGCCTAAAAAATACGGAAAACTTGCCTACAGGGTTGATGGATTTGAAGCTGAGGATTTTAGAGAAGAATAGTGAAGGATTAGTTGTGGTAAGTTATCTGATAATATGTTTTAAAAATAATTAATTAATTCATTTACAGGTTTAATGACTTTTTTTTTTCTAAATTGGTATGTGATTTAAGTAAAATTTTAAAGTCTTTATACTTGAAACGATTGTTTTCAAAAATGACTTATTTTGTTTACAGATTGAAGAACCGGATATAGCAGATTGCTCCGATACAGAACTGCACCAAGTTTTAGAAGACGAAATTTCTTTAGTGTGTTAAGTAGGTAATTAGTTTAATTTAAAAAATCCAATATTGTTATTTATTTATTTATGAAAACAGTAAATTCAGATTATTCTTTATCTAATATAAAATTATTGTTTTCTAATTTTAGTTCCTAGCAACCGAATTATTTATTGTGTGTATTTTTTTATAAATTTTTTTGCAAAACCTGCTAAAATCGAGGTGCAACACAAATCTTGGCCAAAACATCTAAAATACTTGCTCTAAATTTAAATTCTGTATAAATAGATCTCTTGTTATTTTTGACAATTGTCCACCTTAAATTTAGAACAAAATTACCATTGTGTAGAAATTATTTAACCAAAAGACTGGAATATTGATATCATTCGACTTGAGAAAAAATTCAATTGTGATTTTGAGGCTTTCTACACCTCATCAGATAGGATAGGCCATTCCAGTTATTGCTCAAAAATACTTTTTAAATTAAATTGTAAACTAAGATAAGGATTTTTTCAGAGTGCCATCCCTCTAATCTATATACTATGGTGAACATTAAGTACAGAGTGGATTCTTAAAGTAATGATATCATTTTTTTCGAGGGTGGTCTTGTTATGAAGTTATAAAATGTTGAAATTTTGAAAAGTTTGCTTGAACACTATTTGTGTAAATAAATACAAGTGACGCTGTAGGATCTTATATTATAATCTCTGTCTTAGGGCCAAATTTATAGTTGTTCCTTGTTGAGGTTTCCTCAGACTTTAAGGAGGCCTTGAACGTTTAGAATTGACATGACTAACTTGTCAAATTGTAGCAAGTGTCCATTCTAAACCTAATATATAAATCCTCTTTCTCCTTAATTTTCCTTTGATAGTTTTCCAGAAAAAAAAAATAAAATGTGAGAAAATTAATTTCCTAATTTGGATTTTGCAAGTTGATTTTCATTGATTTCCCATGTCGTTATTTTTCACTGGGAAAGTTTGAAATTTTAGTATAATGAACTCCTAACTCTTCTTTCTCTCCTAAAAATTTCATAATTTTCCGTCGGATAGTTTTCCAGAAAAAAAATTAAATGTAAGGGTGCATGTTGGCTTAATTTAGATTTTGCAAGTTGATTTTCATTGATTTCCCATGTCGCTATTTTTTGATGGAAAAGTTTGAAATTTTAGGATGATGAGCTCCTAAATCTTCTGTTTCTCTTCTAAAGATTTCATAATTTTCCCTTGTATAGTTTTCCAGAAGAAAAATTAAATGTAAGAGGTTGCATTTTTGCTTAATTTCGATTTTGCAAGTTGATTTTCATTGATTTCCCATGTCGTTATTTTTCACTGGGAAAGTTTGAAATTTTAGTATAATGAGCTCCTAACTCTCCTCTTTCGCTCCTAAAAATTTAATAATTTTCCGTTGGATAGTTTTCCAGAAAAAAATTAAATGTAAGAGGGTGCATTTTTGCTTAATTTAGATTTTGCAAGTTGATTTTCATTGATTTCCCATTTCGTTATTTTTCACTGGAAAAGTTTGAAATTTTAGTATAATGACTCCCGTAATGCTCGTATAATGAGCTCCTAACTCTCCTCTTTCGCTCCTAAAAATTTCATATTTTTTTGTTGGATAGTTTTCCAGAAAAAAAATTAAATGTAAGAGGGTGCATTTTTGTTTAATTTAGTTTTTGCAAGTTGATTTTCATTGATTTCCCATGTCGTTATTTTTCACTGGAAAAGTTTGAAATTTCAGTATGATGAGCTCCAAAATCTCCTATTTCTGTCCTAAAAATTTCATAATTTTCTCTTGGGTAGTTTTCGAGAAAAAAAATAAATTGCAAGAGAATGCATTTTTGCTTAAAATTTAGATTTTGCAAGTTGATTTTCATTTATTTCCCATGTCGTTATGGAAAAATTTGAAATTTTAGTATAATAACTCTCCTCTTTCTCTCCTAAAAATTTCATCATTTTCCTTTGGATAGTTTTCCAGAAAAAAAATTAAATGTAAGAGGGTGGATTTTTGCCGAGATTTTTGCTTAATTTAGATTTTGCAAGTTGACTTTTATTGATTTCCCATGTCGTTATTTTTCACTGGAAAACTTTGAAATTTCAGTATGATGAGCTCCAAAATCTCCTATTTCTTTCCTAAAAATTTCATAATTTTCTCTTGGGTAGTTTTCGAGAAAAAAAATAAATTGCAAGAGAATGCATTTTTGCTTAAAATTTAGATTTTGCAAGTTGATTTTTATTGATTTCCCATGTTATTTTTCACTGGAAAAATTTGAAATTTTAGTATAATGAGCTCATAACTCTCCTCTTTCTCTCCTAAAAATTTCATAATTTTCCCTTGGATAGTTTTCCAGAAAAAAAATTAAATGTAAGAGGGTGCATTTTTGCAGAGATTTTTGCTTAATTTAGATTTTGCAAGTTGATTATCATTGATTTTCCATGTCGGTATTTTTTAATGGAAAAGTTTAAAATTTTAGTATAATGAGTTCCTAATCTAAACCTCGATCCAAACCCATGATATCCAAGGACCGACTATAAATTCGACCCTAAAGGCTTTGGCTATGGTCCAAAAACATATCCTGGGTTTGTCATATTATACTTGTGTATCAGCCAAATGGAATAAAATCGAAATAAATAAATGGCGACCTGTTCGAAAAAACACTCAGAGACTAAATTTAACCAGAATTTTCAATCATGGATTAAGAGGGTGCATTAATAATAGGTCTGTTTCTGCAGAAATCACAAACCAGTCAGAGCGACTTTCATTGGTTTAAAAGAGTCAGAAAATTAGTTTCAACCAATGAAATTCACTGGTTTGTGATTTCTGCAGAAACAGACCTAATAAATCACTAATAGCAACTCAACCTAAACTTATGAAACACTAAGATGAGAATGTAAAATTGGTTTTACTGTTAGATTAACCTTTTAGGTTGAAGATAGGTATAGGACATTGGGACGTGTTATTCAAAACAATAAAGGGAATACCTGGAACACCCTCTATGAACAAACCTTAGTGTAAAAAGTGTTTAGCGAAAAAACAAAATTGACGGGTCCGTGCGTTTTTCCAAACGCCCCAATTTATTCCATTTGGCTGATACACACTGTATAATAGTGTATCTGTAGATACAAGGCGTTTTGAAAAAGTGATACCGCTATTATTGCTTTATCAGAAACTGTAAGTTGGTTAATTTATCCGACCATGTAACTTCATAGGTTCCAAGACAGCAATAGTGATATCACTTTTTTAAGACTGTAATAATTATATTATGTGTATTTTGGTACTCCTGCTTGAGGAAATGTTTCAAATACAAAGTACCTGGACTGTTTCATTATTAGTCAGAATGTTTAAAGCGTAATACTGTTCAATACAAATTATTTTTTAATCATCTTTATGTGTGTGTGAGAAAAAAATAACTACTCTAGTATTATTGTAATTATTAATAAATAAATAATTTATTTAACTTAAATTCAATATGTACAAAGGTGTATCAATAAATCCCTAAAAACTAATCAGACTTGAACGAAAAGCATTTATAAGTAAAGGGACCCATCGGCTGGTCCTAAATAATGCAAAGAAATCAGTATCACATCTATGATGGTCCAAACGCCTAGGCCGCCGAAACTAAACAATTTTCCTATGCCTTCCTGCCAATGGCCCAAATAGAACCTATCGGCCCCGAAACCACCCAACGTGATACTCAATAGAAGGGCGGTTAACCATTTATAGCCACCCGTCCAGTTGCATTTAATTTTTTTATTAAATGTTCTATGTCCTGCAAAAATTAATTTCATATTTTGATTTTCTTAAATTATTTACAAACCTAAACACAATATATCATTGTGCACAGTACAATTCGTAATGTAAACATCCCTGGGCGAAGCAGCAGATTCACAAGTAGCTTTTAAATCGCATCTGTGTTCCCAGTGTTCTGTTTGGTAACAATACCTACACAAGTATTTTTTTTGAAAATCCCTACCCTAAAAGAGAGCTGTTATAATTTTGAAAAATCTTAAAAACTTGTACCCACCTGACATTTTACTTGAGCTTTTGTCCGACAGGTAGTAGTAATTTCTCGTCCGTAAACGCAAGTTTCATTTAAATCGCATTCGAGGCATTGCACTGGAAGATCTTTGCATTCCACGTTGAGTGGACATTTGAGTAGAGAATCACCCTTAAAGGTTAACATTGACAAGTGAAATGAAAATCAAAATATGTCTTAAGATTTGTGCCATGGTAAGGCTCTTAACTTTTGTGTGTTTTGCTTAGTATGATAAATTTTTAGATATTTTGCATTGTTGGCACTACTTTTCTCAATGCCCATGACAGTATCTGGCTTTCTGATGTAATGCTTACGGGGCTGTGCAGTTATATAGTTATTTTATTAGTTTGCGTGATAGTACTGGCCGTAGGAAATAAAATAGATGTTACATTGGATTACTTGTTAATGTTGATTGGGGCTACAATAAATATTACAGGTATTTATTTGATTTTATGTATTTTTTTGGACAACATTTATTTTTCTATTTTTATTTTAGGGGGTTTAATATCAATAATTTACTATTTCGACTCGTACGAGAGATACATTGATATTCCCACAACATTTTTGCTTCCGATCGGAATTTGTGCGCTTGGTGCTGGCTTTTGCATGTTGGTAGAAACATTTTCAGGAATGCTCATACCGGTTATTGACTTGGAATCATAAGCATGATGTGATCATAATATGAAATTGTATTATATTGTAACAATATTTCTGACTTTATTTAAACATTTGTCCATCTTTAATTTGAACAAAAATTATTGTCTGAGAAGTGTTTTTTATTATATTTGTAGTAGTACTTTCTATACAACATTAAGTACATATCCTGACTCTGCTCTGAAAACCTTTCAATCCTGTCAACTTTGATTGACAGAATCAGCTTTCAAACCAAAAAATATACCAAAATTTTCTTAGGCTCAAAATGAAAATAAAAATAATAAGAAAGCTAGCTGCATTGGTAAGCAAATATGTATATTGAAAATCCCTATGAGAAACAATTTTCTAATTTTATTCTAGATATTCTGCATTATTGGTACAATATTCCTCAACATCCAAAAGTCCTCTTGGCTCTATGACTTTCTAAGCGTAGGACTGAGCGCTTATAGTCTCATTTTATGTGTCAGCTTAATCGTGCTGGCTGTACAAGGCGAGCTGGATTATACTTTGGATTCTATTTTCATGCTGATTGGGTCAGCGCTAAATATCGTAGGTAATCAAATCACGTGAAACAATAAAGTGATACATTATTATTTATGTTTTTTTAGGTGGTTTTACGACAATAATCTTTTATTTCAAGGAAGACAAAACTGGCCAATCAAGTTCCATTAACGATAAATATTTAATTCCGATTGGGGTTTGTGGAATTATAGCTGGAAGCTGTATGATGGTGGATTTTGTAAGAGGAGTTTTAAAACATAAAGCTGCAACTATAGAAGGAGAAGAATGAAGGTAACTGACATTTTCATGTTAAAATTTGTTTAATTTCTAAAAGTTTGATTTTTTACACAATGTATCAATGAAAATATTAAGGAATAAACCGCTACAAAAAACTGCTTGTAGTAGCTCATGTAGCTGTAACCAGAATTATTATTGATTTGTAAAATACTGGGAACATTAGGTCTGTTTCTGCAAAAACAAACAGTCAGAGCGAACTTCATTGGTTGAAAACAGTCAGAAAACTAGTTTCAACCAATGAAATTCACTCTGACTGATTTCGGATTTCTGCAGAAACAGACCTATTATCAGGGTCCTTATTCTTGAAACAGGGGAGCAGCGTTCCCAGGAGAACAGGTGTTCCGTCTTTCTCAATGATATGCAAATGATAATATAAGTAACAAAGACGGAACACTCGTTCTCCTGGGAACGCTGCTCCCCTGTATCAAGAATAGGGACCCAGATTATTATTTTACATTTAAGTCAAGGTTGTTTGAGAGAGGTACGTTGCCTGATAACTTAATGACATCATCTAGGGTGCCTCAAAATAATGCAAATTTTCATAAGGCACTCCAGATGCGTCATCATCATTACCAGACAACCCATTAACTATAGGAACCTTGCATTTAAGTCATGTCCTCGGTCATGTTGATGGTAGAAAAAACAGTTGAGAATTTAACAAGTCAGCTGTATGTTTTTGAAAAAGCACTATTGAATAAAAATAATAGTTATTTATGATATAAGTGCTAAAAGTGACATTTTATTTTGTGAAAAGGGAAGTTTGGGACACGACGCCAAAGGCGGAGTGTTTCATCCCTTTGAACAAAATAAAATCACTTTTAGCACGAATATCATGCACTATTTTTTCTATAAACGCACTAAAAGTGATTACTTTTAGCACTAGTGCTAAAAGTAATTACTTTTAACACCAGTGTCATAAAATGGCATTTTAGACATTGACAGCATCCGTTAAAAATAACACTTTTAGTGACGTTTGTAGAAAAACATAATTAAGAGGTTTTGACAGTAAACAGCAAACAAAGGAATAGTTAAAGGCTCAGTTAAAGCAACTTCAAATGTTATTTTTGTCATCTTCCTGGAAATGGAGTTGGACCTCAGAGTAGTTGGACCATGTAAGTGGGAATTAGACGGAAGATCTCCTAAACCAGAAAAGCTCTCAAGTAATAGTCATAGTCCAGTTAAAAATCAAGCAATATTAGCTGTAAAATCCACTGTACCAACTACTACAAATGATGCAGAAAATTGGTATCAAGACAATGGTGCAACCAATCACATTTGTAATAGAAGAGATGTCTATGAAAGCTTTGAATCATTTACAATGTTGACATTAACAGCCTCAACATGCATAATAGACAGGTTTTTTTTTTAGATTTTGTCAATATTCAAATAGGAACATAGTAAATTGTGATTATTATCAATTAGCCTTGGACGCTGGTTTTGACCATTTAACAAGTTGTTAACAGAAGGTGCGATTTTTGTTATCTAATCTAAGTACAAAGTTAAAAATATCCTTAATTATTTAAATTGTGAGTTTTGTATTTTTTGTGCCAACAACAACTCATACTTGCGCTCTAGCTATTTGTGTAGGTAAACCATTTTGAATTTTGTGCAGTTTTCCCTCGAGTTTTCCTTCCGGATTTATCCAACAAAGGTAAATATATCGGGTTATTTTTATACTTACTTGCACGTTGACGTCTCTAATTTCGTCGGATACGTTTGTAGTTTTCTTCACATCGCCTCCGAAGGATTTTATTGCGTTATTATCCGCTGAAAATTTGTATTGTTCATGTTCAATAGAACATTTTGTTTTTGTTTCTTACCCGTTTGGATGTTGTTCGCCAAGAAAGTGAGTAATACGAATGTTGCCTGTCGAATGTTTATGTGAATACAATGCATGTTAGAGTTTATTTCTAGATTTTGTATTCGATTGATTATTTATATAAAAAAAGAAATCCTATATTTTCTTCAGGGCCATTCCATTTTTATTTTTTGTTTGTTTTGATTTGACGATTTGACAAATTTGACGTTAGGTAATGGGATTGTTGACATTTAACCAAATTAGTGTATTGTGGCCTGCCTATAAGTAGGTTTTTTCGCCATGTTCATTAGTTTTTTCACGTGGCTCCGGTTTAAACTAACCGGGTTACGTCTAGAGGTGGGCCAACTTGCGATTTTAATGGAGCTGTGACAAGACGTGACTGCGCCAGTCGTATCACTGTGACAAATAGCAGTGATTTTTTGGAGCAGTTTTATACCTTGGTTGGCGGCCGCACTGCTAATGTTATATTAATGCTACATCGCAACATGGAATAATCGCAGTCCGCAGTCACGGCCGAGAGAGTGTTCCAGTTTCCAGCCTATGCTTTGCAGTAGCAGTTTCTATTTGGCGTGACCGCGATGCGATTTATAATGGTATATTATTTCATTTGCATCACAGCTCGAGTTTTGTCCGCGCTGCAACGGTCGGAGCTTGAAGCGGGCAGTGACAAAATGTTACTGCTACTTGACTGGGAATGGAGCAGGCCGTGACTGTGACAGACAAGTAGCAGTGACAAAGTCACAGTTCGTGAAATCGCAACCCACCTCTAGTTACGTCTATGGTTACAAAACAGTTAGTAACGTCACTGAAAATGCCACTTGAAAACGAACGGTTAGAAAAATGTTTTTTTTTAAATTAGTCAATCCAACGACCTGTCAATATTTATAATAGGTCGATGCACCCTTTAATAACTGCACTAAATGCACCAAAATTTCACGTGTATCTTGAAAAAGAAATTCCCTATTATTTATTTTAACTTTAATGCGCTTCCTTGTTCGTCAAGGGCGAGTTCAGGAATGACACACTCGGTGTGAGTGTGACACCGGTGCGACGCACTAGCCGTTCATAAATGCTATAGGCACACCGAGTGCGCGCACTCTGTGCCGTTCAGAAAGTACTTCGGGCGCGCTCCAGGTGTCGCACCTGTCACACCATAATTTTTTGGTGTGGCTGCGGTGTGATTGTGTCTTTATGTCAACAATGTCAACCATTCCTCCCATAATCTCAATAATCCCACCGAATATAAACAAAACACAAATAAGAATTAAAGTTTTTTCTTCAAATTAAAAAAAATTAACAACACAAAAAAGTAATCTTAATAGATGTGGTGAAATTTTTGAGGAGATGCTCGATTGGTTACACCAAGCGTTCAGAAATTCATACGAAAGTTTTCGCCTAAGAATTGTCATTTCAGTCACACCCATAAAATCGAACTCACACCCGGTGTGTTATTTCTGAACTCGCCCCAATTGATTAGGTAGGTCGAAACTTTAAAAATTAACCAAAACCACACAACTTTTTAAGTTTACATCTGTCACAATTTTCTCGCTCTCCGTTTTTTACAAATTTTCTATTGTTTTTGTTCTAACCGTTAAACGTAACCATATCACCGAGCTGGTTAGAGAAATGACATACCGTTTCTTAACCCGGTTTCCAAGTGACATTATCGATACCACTCGAATTTGAGGGGTATGTTGCCGTTTGTTAAACCGGAGCCACGTGAAAAAAACAATTGGTTCCAAAAAACTGCATCATTTAGTGAAGGGCTTGTCGATTTTCATAGTTATCGATACGATATTCTCTCGAATCCTGTACTACTTTTTTATAACGATAATAACATGAGAAAATTTTGAAAATATCGATATAATATTTCTGACTATAAATTAGGCTGCCTGGATTTACGTATAAGCTCCTTCTTGCATGTTCAATGAAGAGTGAAGACTGTGAAGAACCAATGAAACGCCGATCAGCTGCTGAGATCTGCTTGAAGCAAGAAAAGCAGTACAAATGAACAGCCTGTAAATGAATGCTCGTTATTTCCAGCCGCTTTCCAGTATGGAAGTTTGACGCCCGGAGCTACTCGGGGCGTCGAGCCCCCGAGCTGTACGTACGCGTCAACCTGTCAGCTGTCACATCCGTGGGTGGCTATTTATTTATTTATTTCTTGTTATATCTCAAGATTGAACATTTTAAAAAATATAGTTTTGATTCTCTTTCATTTATGATAAATAAAAAAACAAACTACACAAACAAACCGATAATTATTTTTAAAATTTGACATATTTGACACTAAGACAGGCGTCTCACGTCATGATACTGGAATGGTACAAATCTAGTGCGTGGCGCCCCCGAGGTGCTCTGGAGCGCGCCAGAGCGCGCCAATGTGCATACTGGAAAGCGGCTGAGGAGATTATTATGCATTATTTGTGTCCCAGATACTTTTGGTGACGATGATACATATCGATGAGCCAGGAGTACTCGGTTTTTCGAACAAAATTCTTCCTGTGTACTTGTCTACGAATTTTCTCTCAATTCCGTTTAAATTTCTTCTCTATAAATATAGAGAAATCCCTATTTTTCCAGATCAATTTTTCCTATTCCTGGCCCTTGAATTTGTTGAAATAAAGACAAGAGCCTGGAATAGAAAAAAAAATGAATGTCCTATAATCTACCATTTTTTTATGAATTTTTCTGCATTTCTTCTCTGTTCAAGTTTTTCCGTCTCAATTTTTGTCTATTCTCGGCTCTTGAATTTTCATTTTCTTCTAAATTTCACTAAAAAGTGAAAATTTTAGACGTTGGAATAGAAATAAAACTTTGTGTAGGTACCAATTTTTTCTCAATTATTTCTCTTGAATTTTTTTTTTTTTTATTTCTCAATTTTAAACTCAATTTTTGTTTCTTCCCGGCTCTTGAATTTGTGGATATAAAGAAAATTCAAGAGCCTGGCATAGAAAAAATATGAATGATTATTTATGAAAAACTAGCTGACCCGGCGAACTTCGTATCGCCTCTGAATTATTAAATACCTATTAAATGTTGTGTTAACGTATTAGCTGAATAAAATTCAGTTTTTTTCGATGGTGAATTTGGCTTTGGTTGAAGAAAATTAATGTTTACTCTCTGGATCAGAAGTCACCTAAAATAAAATTTTACATCATCCTTTCTTAGGCAGCTTGTGGGCATTATTCTTGTAAAGTGTACCACTAAATAAATAAACTCCGGCACAGGAATGTTCAAAGAATGTAAAGAAAACAAAAAAAATCTCTAGCGCAGCCCTGTTTCACTCTTTCTGCACTGCATGCACTGCACTACTCCATCTGTTCTACTCCATCTGCACTACTCTATCTGATCTACTCTTTCTGCACCACTCTATCTGATCGGAATAGTGGAATAGTTCTGTTCGAAATAGCTCCAGTTCATGAGCAGCATTGTTCTACTGTATCTGCAATGCCGAGCTTCGTTCCAGGTATCAGAGATGGCGCGGTATACAAAATACAAAATAAACTTGGTATCGGTTATAAGAGATGGCGCCGTATGCGGGCTTAGTACATTTTTTTCATAAATAAATAAAATAAGTAATAAAATGACCACATTAATGACATAACAACATGCTGGTACTGTCAACGCTGAAAAAAGTTTCAATTTGACAGCAAAATCCCCATTAACAAAATGATCCTCCATTTATTGAATAATTCATTTATTACAAAAAATGTGATAAATGAAGAACCGCTCGACCGATTTTGTGCAAACTTCACATAAACCATCTAATAAATAGTCGGAACAAAGACTAAACATTTGGTTTGGCTAGGTGAGCCCGTTCTTGAGTTATAAAATTACAACGAAAAGTGGCATTCATTTTTATATATACAGGGTGTCCCAAAAAGATACCGACAAACTTTAAGGGGTAGTAGGGGACATCAAAACAAGCATTTTTGTTTATATAAACATATGTCCGCAAATGAGCCATTTGGGCTGTAGAGCAAAAAAACTGTTTGATACTTTCATTTTTCGCAATAATTAAATCGTTGTTTACTTATTAATTTTGCTTTATCAAATAAATTATCATTTACAATAATTGCTCAAAATGTTGACCATTTACTTCAATGCAAAGATTACACCGTCGGGTCATTGACTGAAAAGTTTAGTCTACGAAACACCTGTTCGTAATGAGGAAGATCTGATAGCAAGGATACTGGCGGGTTGTACCCATGTAGAAGCTATTCCCGGATTATTCCAAAGAGTTCGCGAGTTGAACAATTATTGTAAACCATAATTTATTTCCTATTAAAGCAAAATCAATAAGTAAACAGTGATTCAATTATTGCGAAGAATAAAACTAGATACCGAACAGTTTTTTTGCTCTACAGCCCAAATGGCTCATTTGCGGACATATGTTTATATAAACAAAAATGCTTCTTTTGATGTCCCCTACAACTCCTGAAAGTTTGTCGGTATATTTTTGGGACACCCTGTATAGATTCTTATTGATGTGCACCATCCATCATCGAGGGCGAATCGATGTATTATACATCGACATATACAAGGATATAAGCCTATCCAATACACGTGATTTTGACAAGCAAACAAAGGGTTTGTGTAAGGATGATACACACTACTACTATAGGATGGCCTATCCTCATAAGGCAAGTGTGTAACAAATCCCCTCCAAGCCAGAAAATACCAATTGTGACGTAGACAGCATGTTATTTCCCGCCTTGACGTAGGCTGTTTAAACAGCTGACGACTTGGTTATGACGTCGGCAATGGTGGCAGTCCAATATGGCGGCGATTACCAAAAAAGAGGCCAATAAGCACTCCTTAGAGTGTGTATTCTGCTTGGGGTTTGTGTGCCTCTTGGCACACATTTTAATTTAAGTTTGGCAGCATCTTGGATAGTCTAATATCATGCTGGGTTATGTGATGTGTCAATTGTGTAATACTCCCCTAATGGGCACTTGCACGGCTATCACTCACGGGATATTTAATAATTAAGAAGTGGAGCTTTGAATGTGACTTTTGTTTCTGCAAGAGTCACATTCAAATGCTTCACTTGGATTAAATATCCCTTAAGTTATAGCGGTACAAATGGCTGTAACTCCCTCTCCATCAAATTCTGGACTTGCGAGTGACGTCACTATCAGCAGCTTATAGTGATGACGTCACCCGCAGTCCTCGATGGAATGCTTGCGATTCAGGCTGTACCAGTGAGTTAAATTTTTCGTCGATTTTAAATGTAGAAAAGATAACTTCTGGTCTGTTCTCACAGAGGAAATTAGAGCTGTTTTCTCGCGTTCACTTTTTTGGAACTGGTTCACATCAGGTTTGAAATACTATATTCTCGCGATGAACCGATGAGGTCACACAAAATTGGTTCAAACCGCTCCAACAGTGGCGCAATTAGGGGGGGCTGGGGGGGACTCAGCCCCCCCAAGCTCAAGATTAGCCCCCCCAAACCCGATGGTCACAAATGGTAATGACAGAAATTAGCCATCCGCTCTCCCAAGCCCGAGCGAGCAGATCTGAGTCGCTTTCCAGTGACGCACTTTAAGCACTCCTGAGCTGCTTTAGAGCGCCCTGGACCGTTTATAGGCTTTCCAGTGCATTAGAGTTTCGCGCAACTGAACTGTGTGGTTCGTTTCTCCTCTCCCCTGCCCTCTCAAGCACCTGCTATTTTATGGCGGCATCAAAAACACGAAGCTTAAAGTAGGGTGCGTTCCAGTGATACAACAGTTGTTTGGAGCACCAGAGTATGAAGCTACGGGTGTGGAGCACCTTAAAATTCGTCACTGGAAAGCGGCTCTGAGCGCGCTACAGTCCAAAGGTCCAAACCGACATGTTTTGCAACGTTCGCGAACGTTTTGCGCTGTTTGTTGCACCGGTTTGGATGCACGATGCACCTACGATACACCTTGCGGTCATGCGGTCGAAAACGCTTTTCGGTCACTCCGCGGGTGGGGAAGGGGGAATGCGTGTGCGACTGTCACCAAATCGACTTATAGAGACCCAGGGCTCAAGCCCCCCCAAAATCAACAAGCTAGTTGCGCCCTTGCGCTTCAAAATACAATCCAATCCACATTGTTAAACCATTTTCTTGCGCCGAGAAGTTATGACGTCATTGTGAAACTGTTTTAAACCAGTTTTGAAAAATGTTTGAAAACTGAGACGCGAGAAAACACCTTGGATGTTCTTGATCCTCGAGTAGGATAGCTTATCCTCATGAGGCCTGTGTAGAAAAAATCTCAAGCCCCCCACCACGCCAAAGAAACAGTGATGACGTAGCAGGGTGTCGTTTCTCGCCTTGATAGAGTCTTTTCAAAAAATAATACACACTACTACTACAGGATAGCTTATCCTCATAAGGCCTATGTAGATCAAATCTCAAGTCCCCCACCACGCTTAAGAACCAGTGATGACGTAGACAGCGTGTCGTTTTTCGCCTTGACGTAGGGTACTTGCGCCACAGGTTATGATTCCGCGGGCTTTTGCTTTACGCATACTTGGTATTAGTACATTAATTAACATTCTATAACAACGCTTTTTTAGATCTCGTTTGCATCTGCCTCTTTTCCTATTATGTTAATCAAAATTAAATACTATTTTTCAACATAAATGTATATTCTAAACTACGGACCGGATTCTCAATAATTGTATTCTTTTCAAGGGTTTAAAACACTACAGTCTATTTTTTCCTAAGATAGATTTTGACATTGTCAACTTTGAAACATAAACAGATGCCGCTTATTGGTTGCAGAATGCCATTTGCACGACATGCGTTGTAAAACTGATGTCAACCTGCAGGGACACCTCATTTTGCGACCAATCAGAGCCAAGAAGTATTGTTTATGTTTCAAAGTTGACAATGTCGAAATCTATCTTGGGAAAAAATAGACCATAGAGCTACTCGCTCCGGTATTAGTCGTACATATGTGCTGACTTTCATGCATTTAAATGGCTTGAGTGCGGGCTTGAGCACTCAGATGCAACAAACACTTTTCGAAAGGAATTTAGCGCGTACCGCCCCGGAGATGTTCCAGAGTTCCTCCTAGGTGTGAAAGGAATACAACTATTAGCAGGTCACCCCCGGGTAAAGCCTAGTACTCATAACCGCGAAATTCGCTCTTTTTGACATTGCTCCACAATTTGACGTTTGATTCACGCATTAAACGTCAAATTGTCGAAGCAATGTCAAAAAGAGCGAATTTCGCTGTTATGGGTACTAGGCTTTAAGAATAACTCCAAGATCAAGGTTGTTTGAGAGAGGTAGGTTGCCTGATAACTTTATGACATCATCCGGGATGCCTCGACATAATGCAAATATCCATGAGGCACCCCAGATGCATTACCAGACAATTATATAGCAACTGGACACGTGTAAACCTGGAGTTAAAAACAACCTGGAGGTGACTTACTATAGGGGCCGTGTTCGTTATTATCTTTTTCGTTGATTTGCTCCGAAATTTTGACGGGCACGTGACTGGATCAGACAGTTTCAATTCACAAATCACTGCCTCGGAACAAATCGACATAAAAGATGACAAAAATGAACACGGCTTGAGAAACCGGCCTTATGACCGCTGGCGCAAACAGCTGACGACGTAGTTGATGACGTCGTGCTACACACGCAATATTGCCGCGATTCCCAAAAACGAGGCCGATAAGCAATTCTGTGTAGTAGTGTGTATTATCCTTGCTTGCTAGTTACTTTGTAATTAGTCTAGGAAGATTCACCTGCGTCGTCGACGCCCAAGACACATTTCTGCACGATACACGACACCCGCTATTAGTTCTGACGTCACGAGGCACAATCGCGACGACCGCTAACATTTTCATTGATTTCTTTATTTGTAATTAACTTATCTTTCCAAAGGCTTTTCAGGAGTGGAAACTGTGGTACTTTTAAAACATGGTGCGACACAATAAACTAGGTATAATAAACCATTTCTAACTTAAAAATTACAAAAAATGTAAGGTTAATAGAAAGTCAAAACAAATTATGACATGTGTGACGTCACCTTTGCGTATACTCAGTTTTTGGCGGGACTTTAGCCAGTTTAAATTTTATTCATTTATCACGACTTCAATATTCCACATTAATCCACATAGCATTTAAACAAAAAATGGAGGGATACTTTTTAAGCACGCAGCCAATTGTGATTGAGTTAGCACGTTTTCTTTTTGAAATATTTTTTCCACTTTCAGAAAATGAACCCATCCAATAACAATATTTTAGTGACGGGATTCGGGCCGTTCGGTGAACACACGATAAACGCTAGCTGGGAAGCCGTTTCAATTCTACCGGACAAAATCGCCCAGTACAATATAATTAAAAAACAAATTCCGGTGTCGTACAAGCACGTCGAAGAAAATGTACCGCTCTTGTGGGACTTACACAATCCGAAGGTAAATTTTCTATATTTTTGAAGTGAAACTTCTTAAGCCTAGTCTCCATGGACGCGAAATCGCGAATTTTTTTTTGCGGATATTTTCCGATTGGTTGAAATTTGACATTTAACATTTGATTTTTTTATGGCGGGAAAAATTCGCGAATTTTTTAACTTCTTGCGGCGTCGCAAAAAAGTTAACTATTTTTTAACTTTCCGCGAAATTTTGCCAAAAGAAAATGAGGTTATGTGGTGTTACTTTCAGTTTAGTTTTGTTTATGTTTTTGTCGTTATGTGCTCTGTTCTCTGTGAGTCGTTGATGTGTTTTGTACTTGTAGATACCTAATAAAGAATGGATACTGCCAAAGAATTGAATATTGTAGACCCGAAAACAGACATAAATTACAGCTTGCTGGTTGATGAGGAAGATTATAATAGGGCCTTAAATGTAATTAAGACAACACCAAGACACATATCTTTTTTTGTTTTTTAGTAATCACTTTCATGGTTTTCAAAGATTAGTGTTTGAAATTCAAAGCATTTAAATCGAATTCAAATTGATTACAAACAACAACACATAGGTAACCTTAACCTGTTAAATAAAACGCGAATTTCGCGCTTATGGAGACATGGGAATAATTTGCTCGGAAATAGCCACCAAAAAATGACACTTAAAAAATTCGCTTTCCGCGTTTTTGCGTCTATGGAGACTAGGCTTTAGGCGGTGGTCTGGGAAGAGAATGGGAGAGTGACTTGAAAAACGCGTCACGTTTAGGACCATTTCGTTACAAAAGAGAGAAGAATCATAATATAACGTACAACTTAGAGAGAAGACAGCCATTGACTGACACAAACCAAGGATTATAAGCAAAGAGGATTGCCTATTATTGTCAAGCGCCGATTCTCTTGTGACGTCACTACAGATGCGCATTGCCCTTTATGTGGTCTTTCCCTTTCGTCTTTACCTCAACTCATAGGCTCTTAAGACGTGTACGATACAAACTCGCATGAAACGAACTTACCTTACCGTGATATACCTAAAGAAGTTTCACTTCAAAAAATAATAATTTATCAGATTATCTAGTTATGAAATGCTTCATTGGAATAATTTTTTAGTTAGTTATCCACGTAGGAGTATCCTCCGTGGCGACAGAAATCCAACTGGAAACTTGTGCCAATAAAACTGGCTACGCACGAACCGACATTGACGATTCTTGTCCTGCAAAAGGACAAGCGTTTTGCAACGAATCCTCCAACAGCGAATGCCTAAAAACTAATTTGAACACTCAAACTATTTGCGACAGGCTTAACCAACACCCACAGTTGAAGGCTAGTACATCAAGCGATTCAGGAAGGTATGTTATAATTGTTATTCATTTAAACAGAGTAACACAGAATCAGAATAAATTTTGCTTTTCGAACGCGCACTTCATATTTGTGAATTGTGGGGGGTTAGCGCTGGCAATTTGCGGCGACTGCGTGGAGATTATCAGTAAACATGGAGCAGTGGTCGAACGAGCAACGCGCGTTTATGGTCGAGGCGTTTTTTAAAATGCACCGTAAAAAAATCAGAAGCGTCTCGGCCATGTTTTTGAATTAAGCGCCTCAGATTTTCAGTCGCAGCACGTTGTACAATCTCAATGTTGTCTGGCGTTCTGATGGATTTCTGTTGACTGGAATGCTTCTGAATTTGCCACTGTCCACTGTACCACTTTGTCTGAATCTTTGAACTTTGAAAGAAATTTTACTCTGAGTCACCCTGTATTAAGTAAGAGTAGGAGTTAATAGTTTATCGATAATTTTTTCAGATACTTGTGGGAATTCATCTACTACGTCTCCCTGAATCAAAACAATAAAAATACTTTGTTTGTCCACGTTCCTCCGCTGGATCAACCATTTAGCAAAAGCCAGCTAGCCAATGCGTTGGAAATAATCATTAAATGCGCCTTAGAATTGATTGAGGAGGAAGATGATAGTTGTACATGCAAGGAGCTTCCAAGAATTTATAAGAATGGTAGAGCTGCTGCTTTTTAGACGTTTCACTGTTTATACTTATTATACACAAATTAATATGCGTTTTTGAAAAATTTTATAGAGTGTTACCTTATATTATTTTATTATTATTATTACCATAGGAAGTACCTAAATACAAAAAATATTTTGATAATATAAATTTAGTATGTATTTGTAATAGCTATTTATATAACAAGTACATAAATTAAGGCTTTATTGTACGAATAATTTTATGGCCGAGCGAGGCTATTAAATAATGAGTCAATAAAGCCAGTTTATGATGTAAGCGTTGTATACATGATTTTATGTACGATTACGAGTGGTTTTTGTTAAAAATTAAAAAAATTTAATGAAAAAAGTAAAATTCGCGTATACCTGTTTCACCTTGTCAGGTAGTCCAGATAGGCAATAAAGTAGCACTTTATTTTAGTAGTAAAATAAAGTAGCACTTTATTTTACTAGTACAATAATGTGCTACTTTATTGACGCAAAACTGTTCTATAAATAGCACTTTATTGATCAATCGGACATAAATGTATTATTTGAAGATAAAATAAATTTAATTATCCATGCGCTGCAGTCAATAAATTGCCACCAGGTCCAGTTCTCTATGGTCCAGTCCATAGTGGAATGTGATGTGATATGTCATTGGAAAAATATCTGTTACAGACATAAAGGAGATTCATGAAGGAGGAAAAATATATCAAAACTAAAAACAACCGCAGCAAGAAATAATATGTGAATATGAATAAAGTGATGAAGAACATACTTATAAGGAAACTAATAAATTAAAATTCTATTGATAAAAAAGACAAATTATGTAACCGAATTACGAAAATCAAAATATTCTAATAGGTACCATATATGTTGTTAGGCGCTCAGCCGGATTCCAAGATATGTAATTATCTGCGCGTCCTGTAAACAATTCGGAGAATTCTATTCAAGTAGGGCGCCAGGTTTTTCTAGATAAATCCTGAGTACACTATTTGCCATAAATAGCGTGAAGTAGTATTGCTTAAGTGAGTTCATAGATAGTCATTTGTATGTTTCGATAAGTGATAAGTAGGTAAATTTTTGTAAAAAGTCAATTAGTTCAATAAAAGTTGGGACTGTTTGTAAATGAGTGTGTTTAAGTTTTAAGTGAACCCGAAATCCATGACAATTTGGTGTCGCTCACAAGCGCATTTTCTTAAAAACTCTACAAACTTCTATAGAATTCTATTTGGAGTTCAGCAAATCTCGAGTCGGCAGCAGGACTGCGAGTGACGTCACTACTATCAGCATCTTATAGTGGTGACATCACTGACAGACCTCGAAGGATTGCTTGCATTTCAGGCTGTGCTGGTGAGTTAATTTTTTCAAATGTAGAAAAGGTGATTTTAACGTTTAGGAATTCGTTTTTTTGACACTATAGCTTTTGAACTCGACATCAAAAAAAGTCCATAAGTTGTCTAGAACATCCATCGTGTTCTAGTTGGAAATTTTACTTCGCCACGGAACTTCAGATTCAAAATCAAGTTTCAAAAAAGATCCAGAATACCTACTGTGTGGTAAATACACGACAGCAAACAGCCGAAATGGAACAAGTAAATCAGCAGATCTGGGCGGACTTCATGAAGAATTTGGACGACAAAAGACAAGAAGAAGTAGACCGAAGGCAAAAAGGACAGGACCGGCTTGCAGGCCTTTCTGCATTTTTACAACAACAAGAAGACCAAAGACAGAGAGAGAAGCAAGAAGAACAGGACCGGCTTGGCTTTCAACCTTTCTACAACAAGAAGATTGAAAAATAAAGCAAGAAAAAGAATATCGAAGATTCATTGTCGAAGACAGAAAGAACAGGACCGGTTTACAGCATTTTTACAACAACAAGAAGACCGAAGACAGAAAGAAAAACAACAATAAGAAAGAAGAAGAAGACCGACCGAAAACATAATAGGTCGCTGTTTCTGCAGAAATCACAAACCAGTCAGAGCGAATTTCATAGGTTGAAAACAGTCAGAAACAGTCAGAAAACTAGTTTCAAGCAATAAAATTCACTCTGGTTTGTGATTTCTGCAGACAGGCCTAAAGAAACACAAGAAGAGGAAGCCCGAAGACAAAAGAACAGGTCCGGCTTCAGGAAATTTTAAATACCATCGAGAATGGATTCAAACCGTGATATCCGAGGACCAAACCAAACTCGGGAAAATTCTGGAAGTGCAAGACAATAAATTCACGAATGCAATGGAAGTACAGTAGTACGTGAGGGGAGTGGGAGTGTTCATCAGAAAGTTGAAAGTTCTCATTTGGAAGTTGGAACTGTTCGTCAGGAAGTTGGGATGAGCAGAGACCCAGACCGAAATGAAATATCGGTTCCGGTCCACAGCGTCATGACAAATCCGGTTCTAGTTCTAAGAGAAATATTTCGATCCGGTTCGGACCAATATAAACCGAATTTTCGCGACGAATGTAGTTCATCCAAGGACGAACCATAGCTCGCCTGTGACGTCATGAGTTTGAACGCTGTCTAGAAACTGCATCCATGCTTCCGTCGAACTACGTTCAAGATGACGTCATGGGTTTCTGGCGAAAGCGTTTGTGTTCATGAAATCATGGAAGTAGTTCGTCGCGAAAATTCGGTTATAATTTCGGTTTTATAAGTTTAAACCGGTAAAGTTGTTCACAAATATCAACAGAAAAATTTGTGTTTCTGTAATTTGTGGTTTATTTTTTATTGGATTTTAACTACGACCGCTGGCGCAAATCGACACCGATGACGTCGGCGACGGTTCAACGCCATATGAACTTGATTCCAAAAATCGAGTTAAGCAGTTCAGTAGAAGTGTGGAATATCCATGGTGTATGTAGCCTAGGAGCTCTCTGGCCTAGCCGAGTTCAAAAATGCGCGCTTCTAGTTTATGAAATCTTGAAACCGAAAAATACCGGTAAGAACCGATTAACTTATATCGGTTCCGGTTTTGCTTGCCTTACATTTCTATGAAATATGGTTCAATTTCATTAACTTTTTTCTGTCAAGTGACTACCCTTCTTATGGCTAAGCTCAACATTGTTTGCTTTATGACGTCATCTGGGATGCTTCAAAATAATGCAAATCTCCATAAAGGCACCTCAGATGCGTCAAGTTACCCATAACCAGACAACCTATGAACTTTAGAACTTGGGCTAAGCTCAAGGTTCTTAAAGTTGATAGGTTGTCTGGTACTGGGTAGCTTGATGACGCATCTGGGGTGCCATATGAACATTTGCATTATGTTGAGGCACCTACCTCCAAAATTGCGTTAGAGTGCTGTCGCTAACGCAGTGTTAAACTCAAAAAAAGAAGAAGACAACCTACCAATGATGATACCTACACTTTTCTGTCTATCGATTTTAATCTGATACTTCAAAAAAATATGAGCTGGTGGCTCCCTACATTAAAACGCCAATGGTCACCTGACGTCACACCTGGGCCGAGTTCAGAAATAATAACGCACAGTGTGCGATTGCGATTTTATGGGTGTGCCTGAATTGACAATTGGCCATTGGGCCCATAGCACCGTCTAGCAATTTTGAACAGCTAGGGTGTCGCACCGGTGTCACACTCACACTGGGTGTGTCATTCCTGAACTCGCCCCTGTTTTTGTCATAAACTTCACCATCTTGCTCCTCATCCGAAAAGTGTCAGATTAAAAACGACGGAAAATATAGGATTGCTTATCGGCCTCGTTTTTTATAATCGCCGTCATATTGTTGTGTTACGATTTCCGATGTCATAACTACGTCGTCAGCTGTTTAAACAGCCTACGTCAAGGCGAGAAATAATATGCCGCCTACGTCACAACTGGTAATTTGTCGTAGGTGAAGGGGGTAGGGGCCGGGGGATTTGTTACACACAGGCCTTATGGTGACAGGCCGGGGGAAGGGAGGATTTGTTACACACAGGCCACATGGGGATAGGCCATCCTGTAGTAGTAGTGTGTATCATCCTTGGCAACCTACCACTCTCAAACGACATTGGGCTAGGCTATGGTCTGGATATAACCAAACGTTAACCAAAACAACCGGATCGGTTGACAAATGGTTACTGAAAATTCCGGTTACTGGGAACGCGAGCTTCGGTCGCAGTTCAAAAAAAAATACATACATATAGGTTTTCTATATCATATTTAGGATGACGTCATCGAATGAGGACAAACAATGTTGTCAATGCCTATTTTTTTTCTTAGAATTTACCAGAATGTCATATGTGTCAATAATTCTGACGACAGCTAAAAATAACGAAATGAAAATGTTTATACAAGTCATGCAACGTCGCGCGCCCGTTGGCTAACCGAAAACATCTGAAATTCCTCTACTTCAAATGCGTTAAAAAGTACTTTTAGTTTTGTTAGGTTGGCAGTAGAAATTTACTAAATGTGACGTCATCCTAAATATAGCGTAAAAATCCTATAACGCCGCTTTCGGAAAGTGTGATCCGATTAATCGGTTCGGTTGGATTAGTAATCGAGTACTCGCGTTCGGAAAGTGATCTTGTTGACTCGATTTTCTCATATGTTTGTGATCGCGTTAACCCTGCTCTTGACGAGGATAGAAAAATTCAGCTGTCTGATGTTTTTGGTTGTATGTTATGTTTATTTTATGTTTTGTTTCCGTTTTGTGTTTGAATTCTTGTGATTTGTTGTGTTTGGAGTGATTTGCAGCGTCTTTGGAAAGTCAAAGACAAAAACCTCAAATCGTTGAAGAAAAACAAACGCTTTTGCGAGAAACACATGACGACATATTGAACGTAGTTCGCTGGAAGTATTGACGCAGCTTCTAGTCAGCGTTTAAACACATGACGTCACAAGACGAACTATGGTTTGTTCTTGGATGAACTACATTCGTCGCGAAAATTCGGTTGAAGTTTACATATTTTTTTTTCTGTATGAAATAACTAAAAAATAATTGACATGAACGACAGATGAAACCAATCGAACCAAAATCCGATTGCCGGTGAATCTTGATTCTTGATGGCCGGTAACTATTTTGCTTGACTTTTGGTTAACTATAGTCCAACAAATACCATTTTAAAGTCACGTGATTTTTCTCTATCCTTATTAAATACATCTCAAACAGCGGTGATAGTAAAATTGACAAAAAATTTGGTGTCTAATTATTGTTCATAATATTCTTACCTGAAATAGAATCCGTCACTGTCATCATTTAGTTTGTCAAAGTTATTTTCGAAAATAATACAACGAACAAACACAGCTAATAATTTTGACTATATTAACCTTTTTCCAACTCAAAAAGATGCAAATAGAAAACGGGTACCCAGTTTAAGTTCAGAATTTATTACTACAGACAGCAGAAGCGACAAAAGTGAGTCTCGCAACAATTGCAAGTATTAACATTGCCCTCTGATTGGTCAATACTACTTCAGAAACGCGTTTGTAAAATGCTAGTGGGAACATATATTAAAATTTAATAGTAATTAACCACCAGTAGCTTTTTGTAGGTGATATCAACGACATATCAATGGACATACGTTTTTTGCCACCAGTATCACGTGACTTTAAAATGGTATTTGTCAAGAATCGTAAACTCTACAGGATTGCTCAATCCCATAAGACAAACGTTCATAAAAACATAGAAGATGGCGGTATGCGAATGACGTCACGCAGTCCTTGATCGGTTTGTGTTTTTTATGACAGTGCACTATCCTTGCATTTTCAAACGTGAAAAATTGTTATTTTGAGGTTATTTCCTTTGAAAACTGTATTTTGTAATTAATTTATTGATTTTAAAATTAGCAGACTTCAAAAGCTTGTGTCCTTCAGGCTTGAGTGGTTGGCTAATTGCTAATTAGAAAGACGAGTTTGTTTGCTTTTGTTTATCAATTAGCCAAACATATTGCCAAAAAGTCAAAAAAACGAAGGGCTGGAGTCAAGCTGGCCCCCGGATTCGTTTCAATGTTTTTTTTGTGTATGAAAATGAGCACAATTCGCATAAATACTGGCACAATTGAGCACAAAACGGGCACAATTGACTACAGTTGAGAAACAGTAGAAAACCAAATGTGGAGTGCCGAGCCGGTATAATTTTTGCATTTCAATATCAAAATATAAGCGAAACGGGGTTGCAATAGTGTGCTTTATTTTTTACTGACCCTACCTAGGTACTTCTCAATTATTATTCATTAATTTAATAGGTACTAGAACGATTTAATATGGACATTCAAAGTGAGCTTATTTCACAAAGCCAAATAGTGATACCTAATTTAGATTCTCATAATCATATTCCAGAAAAACATTGCAAGTTTCCCATATTTTCCATGCGTTGTCATAGTATACACACAAATAAAAGAGCGATGTCCTGATACAACAAATCCAGTATTATAAAACCAGAAAATGCTTGGGGTTTTCGCGAGTATTTTCAGCCACGAGTTTTTTATGCTTACACACATTAAATCAAACTTTAAATTTACACTTATTACACTAGATTAATCTGAATTTACGATAAAATAGTTGTCAGCACAAACTAAACATCATTCGTATCAGCGGCCATCTTGAAAATCCGGCATGCGCGTGACGTCCAGCAATTGTGAACAAATTTAGCCGATTGAGCAATCCTGTAGAGTTTACGATTCTTGGGTATTTGTCGGACTTTAGATTTCAAGAAACACAAGACACAAGGATAATACACACTACTACGGACTGCTTATCGGCCTTGTTTTTGGTAATCGCGGTTATATGGTGTAGCACCATTGTTGACGTCATTAACTAAGTCGGCAGTTGCTTGCACCAGCGGTCGTGGTTTGGAATTTAAATTTATGATGGAAATATTATTTAATTTTGATTATCATAATAGGTGAAGAGGAAGGTGCAAACGAGATATGAAAAAGAGTTGTTAAAGAATGTTAAATAGTAAAACCAAGTATGCATTAAAGCAAAAGCCCGCGGAATCATAACCTGTGGTGCGAACACCCTACGTCAAGACGAGAAACGACACGCTGCACACGTCATCGTTGGTGCATTGGCAGGGGGGCTTGAGATTTGAAGTATACACAGGCCTTATGAGGATAAGCTATCCTGTAGTAGAAATGTGTATTATCCTCTTGCAGGAAACTGAGGTCCAAGAGTAACCACTTTTTTAGGAACGGAACCACAGTAATTAGTAATTTGATTACTTTCAGACCGCTTTTCTGTCTTTGCCACATCTTTATTTTTAGTTGAGGAGCTTTGATCATGAGCATTAACCCTCAGATTTTACTGGATTTGACCAATTTTCCAAAATCATAAATCACAAAAAAAAATTATACTTGATTCTTCATGTTACAAAAATAGGTGTACCAAGCTAAGGTCGTGTGTAGAAATCGTGTAATTTGTTAGACTGAAAGCGTGTAGAAACGTGTAATTTGGCCAGCATATCGTGTAATTTCAGAAATTATCTGGCTGCCAGAATCTGGCAACACCCTGGGGATGAGTTTTCGTCACGAGGTTCTTCAGGGAGGTGGAAATATTCGCCAAGAAATGGATTGTTTTGAGAAGATTAAAAAATTGGAATGGAACATGAGGTCGGAAAATGTCTCAGCCTTGTCTGCACCTATTATATGCCAGAATAGCACAAAATAGTTTGCAGCTTGCAAGGTTTCACACGCACGTAAACCCACGCGTCAGCTCAAAATAAATTGAGGAGGCCTAAATATGGAGCAATGCTCCAAGCACGCGTGTCGAAGTCCCACTTCGCTTTTAAATTGATTGAGGATGTAGCTTGAGTCTGCGCGTTCTGCATTTTTTTGATTATTCAGAAATGCAATGCGCCTTTTTGTCCTACGCTGTTTTGTCACAGCGCTGTTCTGTTCTGAGCTGTTATCTACCCGCCATTTTGTTTCGCGCTATTCTATCACAGAGCCCCAAAGAACTATAGTAGGTTGAATTATAGAGCTCTACTTACTCTAGAGCAGAGTGCAAGTATCACGATTTCCGAAAGCCCCTCAGCCACAGTGCTCTATCTCTTTTTGTTTCGCTACGTTAAAAAGAGAGAGAAATCAGCTGACTAATCAAAAATCTCTGAAAAGCTGACATGCAAAAAAACCCAACCCAACTTTTGTTTGTTTATTTATACATATATTTTTTTTCAAACTTTTTATTAGAATTTGTGAAGGAATTTTATCATCAAATTACAAATTTAAATATCAGTTATCAGAGAAACACCACGTTGTAAGTTGCCGAGCCAATCCACCATATTTATTCAAATTAAATAATTTCAATTTTTCCTTAGCGTATTATTAATGCAGTGTGTGTTTTACCAAAATGGTTTTCGACGAACTCTTGGACAAACTAAATGCACAGCCCAGAGAAGTATCCCAAGAGATAGTTAGAGTCCTTATGAAAATAGCCGAAAATGTATTAAAAGACCCAAAAAACACAAACCTACGGGTATTAAAAAAATCAAACACCACAATTGCCTCAAAAATTTTACGACACCAAATTGGTAGATATTGCTTGGAAGCTATGGGCTTTCAAGAAAACTCGGATGATTTTTTACTTCCAGCATCCACCTCTTTAACTCGCTTGCAAGATTTAACAGACACTTTATTAATGTGGAAGGAATCTGTTGAAATTGAACTTAACCCTGACCCATATTACATGTCAAGACCCAGCCAGCCAGTACCTAAAAGTTCACCCACCAATCCTGTATCAAAACCAATACCTATAAGACCTATTGTGTTACCTCCCTTACAATCTCTTTATAGGGAACCATTTTTTCACCATATTGAAGTACAATTTCATAGTGCTTTGAGATATAACAATAAAGCAGTTCAATTGAGGGCTAAAAACTTAATTCCTATTGAACGCTTGGAGCAAAACGCAACAGAAAGATTTAGGTTAATTCAAGAACATGTAAAAAAGAATAAATTGGAAGAACCAAATATTTCAATTCAAGATATGATGATTATAGAATTATTGCAATGGTTTAAAACTGATTTTTTTGTTTGGGTAGATAGTCCTGTTTGTGAGAACTGTTTTGACACCACACAATTCAGTCACATGTCCACAGACAGAGATTTACTAGTACACACAGATAGAGTTGAAATGCATAAATGCAAAAGTTGCAGTCATCTGACTCCATTTCCACGATACAACGATCTAAATATTTTATTGGAAACCCGAAAAGGCAGATGCGGAGAATGGGCAAACACATTCACCCTATTTTGTAAAGCAATGGACTGGGATGCTCGTTTGGTTTTAGATGAAAATGACCATGTTTGGACTGAAGTTTATTCGATTGGTCAAAAAAGATGGCTGCACTGTGATTCATGTGAAAATATCTGTGATAAACCTTTGATATATGAAACAGGTTGGAAGAAAAAAATAAGTTATGTTTTGGCTTATTCAGACGAAGACATACAGGATGTGACTTGGCGGTATTCTAGTAATCATAAAGAGGTTTTGAAAAGAAGGACAAGGTGTGATGAATTGAAACTGATTAATGTTATTATTGAGCTTAGAAAGAGGAGGCAAGCCACATTATCTGAGAGCAAAAGATCATACTTGCAACAGAGACTGGTACTTGAACTGGTAGAATTTTTAATGGAGAAGTATGTTTTGCTTGAGTTAACAATATAGCAGTATTAACTAATTATTCCTTTGCAGAAAACCTGGCAAAGAAGAAAACAAAGGCCGCGAGTCTGGCGATGAAATATGGAGACTGGCACGCGGCGAAATCAAAATGGCAAAGGAACCAACCAAATTTGTTTGGCGGATTGATCCTAAGCAAGTGATTGACAATAAAGCAATTGTAAAATATTCAGCAGCCAATGATACCTATCACTATATAACTGGAGAAGTCGTGAAAAGTACCGTAAAGAACTGGTTTGATGGCACCCACAATTTTAGTAATATTACTAGGAAAGAAGAGAAGGATTGGAAAAAAGTCTATCTTGCCAGGAGAGGTAACATCCACTTTTCTTACGATTAATAAATAACAGACAATAGGTGGTATGAATAAAAACGAAATACTTGCTACTACTACAAGTATTAGTATGTTCTACGTAGTATTTACTTCAAAACGAAGTAGATACTACATTTCGAAACTACCGGAAATTATTAAATGCTTCTTTGTGAAGTAAATACTACGAAGAACTTGTAGAAGTTGCATGTACTTCGTCTTTATTCATACCACCCAATATCCATTATGACATGTCTTGACTTGTTTATTTCCAACTGCTACCTTGAAGTCAAAAATCACTCAAAAACAAAAATGGTTGTACGGTGTGCAATAGCTATTTACCTAACAAGTGCGGAAAAATATTTTCCGCAAGTGTGTAATATTTTTCCTACAGGCGTAAAAATGTAAAATTTTTCTTTTTTTTTTTGACAGATCAGTGCGGTAAAATTTTTTCCTCACTGACAATCGTGCGGAAAAACTTTTTTCGCACTGATATGCGTGTGGTAAAAGTTTTACCGCGCCGTGCGGGAAAACTCATTTTCCGCACGCATATCAGTGCAGAAAATCGATTTTTCCGCACGGCTGGAGGAAAAATTTCATTCCAATATCCAATACACTCAAAGGCAAAATAAAACATCCTTCAATGTCGCTTTTTTTTTTGGAAAATTTGATTTTTCCCAAAATGACAAGCTCGCACATTTTGCCTCACTGTTATTCTTAATTAAATTCCCAACAAATCTCTACTGTGTAGTTTCAATGTAGCTTCAACGGTTTTGTAGCTGTGAAGCAGTCATTAAGTTACTAAGCCACTCTTGGGATGTTCCTATTTATATTAATTTTATTGGTCATTGTCATAGTCGAAGCCCAAGAACTGTTTATGTGGTTGTTGGATCAATTTGAAATTTTAGTATAATGGGCTTCTAACCTTCCTTTTCCTATATTGAAAGTTTCAAAATGTTCTCCGCAACAGTTCTTTGGAAAGATATAAAAGTGCAAGAGGATGCTCCTATTTTATATTAATTTTATTGGTTATTTTCATAGTCTAAGCCCAAGAACTGTTCATGTGGTTGTTGGATCCATTTGAAATTCTAGTATAATTGGCTTCTAACCTTTCTTTTTCTATACTAAAGGTTTCAAAATGTGCTCAACAGTTCTTTGGAAAAATATAAAAGTGTAAGAGGATGTTCCTATTTAGGTATATTAATTTTATTGGTAATTTCCATAGTCTAACGGCCAATTTCATAATAGAGAATTAAAAGTTACTTTAGCTAAATAGACTTTTAGGATAGGATTTTTGAACTTCAAATGGAGCTTTAAATTTAAAGTTTACTTCAAGTTGATTATGAAATTGGCTGTTAGCTCAAGAACTGTTCATGTGGTTGTTGGAACCATTTATTTAAAGTTCCAGTATAATGGGCTTCTAACCTTCCTCTTTCTATACTGAAAGTTTCAAAATGTTCTCAAGAGTTCTTTGGAAAAATATAAGAGTGCAAGAGGATGCTCCTATTTATATTAATTTTATTGGTCATATTCATATTCTAAGCCCAAGAACTGTTCATCTGGTTGTTGGATCCATTTGCAATTCTAGTATAATTGGCTTTTAACCTTCCTTTTTCTATACTGAAAGTTTCAAGATGTTCTCAACAGTTCTTTGGAAAAATATAAAATTGTAAGAGGATGTTCCTATTTTATATTAATTTTATTGGTCATTTTCACATTCTAAGCCCAAGAATTAATTGTGCATGTGATTGCTGGATCCATTTGAAATTCTAGTATAATGGGCTTCTAACCTTCCTTTTTCCATGCTTACTGAAAGTTTCAAAATGTTCTCTCAAACAGTTCTTTGAAAAAATATAAAAGTGCAAGCCATTTTCATACTCTAAGCTAAAGAACTGTTCATGTGGTTATTGGATCCATTTAAAAGTCTAGTATAATGGGATTTTTCTATACTGAAAGTTTCAAAATGTTTTCCTCAACGGTTCTCTGGAAAAATATAAAGGTGCAAGATGATGTTCCTATTTATATTAATTTTATTGGTCATTATCATAGTCTAAGCTCAAGAACTGTTCATCTGGTTGTTGCATCCATTTGCAATTCTTGGATAATGGGCTTCTAACCTTCTTCTTTCTATACTGAAATTTTCAAAATGTTCTGCCGAACAGTTCTTTGGAAAAATATAAAAGTACAAGAGGATGTTCTTATTTATATTAATTTTATTGGTTATTTTCACAGTCTAAGCTCAAGAACTGTTCATGTGGTTGTTGGAACCATTTATTTAAAGTTCCAGTATAATGGGCTTCTAACCTTCCCTTTTCTATACTGAAAGTTTCAAATGTTGTCCTCAACAGTTCTTTGGAAAAATATAAAAGTGCAAGAGGATGTTCGTATTTATATTAATTTTATTGGTCATTTTCATAGTCTAAGCCCAAGAACTGTTCATCTTGTTGTTGGATCCATTTGAAATTCTTGGATAATGGGCTTCTAACCTTCCTCTTTCTATACTGAAATTTTCAAAATGTTCTCCCGAACAGTTCTTTGGAAAAATATAAAAGTACAAGAGGATGTTCTTATTTATATTAATTTTATTGGTCATTTTCATAGTCTAAGCTCAAGAACTGTTCATGTGGTTATTGGATCTATTTGAAATTCTAGTATAATTGGCTTCTAACCTTTCTCTCCATCCCTACTAATTAACTATTCAGTTTAGCAATAATTCATTGTTATAAAAACGTATCTAGGTTACAAGTCATTGCAATTTGTACAAGAAAAATTCTCTAAGTACCCCATACCCAATATAACATTTCAATCGTTTTCCAGAAGGTACAGATAATGCAGACATCTCCTGGAAATTTGAATTCGATTCTAACTCAAAAAAACAATTAGACAGAGTCCATGTCGAGTTCTCCCAAACAACTTTCGAAAATGGAAATATAAAAGCTCAAATTTACAGCGGTGATGTAGTTGAACCGATTCTTGGAAGTGAGTCTTGAAGATTCCATTTAATTTTTTGCCAAATTAATAATTTTTTATTGTAGATTCCTTGAAGACGTGGTATTTTGCTCAAAGAGAGTACATTGTAATTGAAGCTAAACTGTCGGGAGGCAAAGGCGACGAATCTTGGCAACATACACAATTATTTAGACAAGATCTAGATTCTAAAGATTTTCCTTTTTGCGTTACTTTTTATTTTAAGTGAGAAACTTTGTTAATTTACAAAATGCTTGTTATGTGATGTCTAAACAGTATGGGCCTTTAGGAGAAAAAAAAATTATGCAATATTTCAAATTATTATTATTGATCAGTAAAATATAAATTTTATCAGTGTTTTATTTGATTCGTAATTAGCCTATTAGCCTCTCTATATCCACTTTCAATGGCTCCATGAACAGTGGAAAAATAATGTGGATGCGTAGCTTCACCAGCAAATAATACACTAAGTTTTCCATTTTCATTTTTTAGAGGACTTCCTAATTTTTCTTGCAAGTTGCCTTGTGAACGGCCCTTTACAGATTCATATGAATATGTGCCTCGGAAATTTGGATTACTATACCATGTGGTCCTGAAATAATTATTATCAATATTGTAATAGTTTTAATTAATATGGGGTTACTTTATAATCTTATCTGGCATTGTAACATTATAATGTGGAGCCAAAAATTTATTAATAACATATTCATGGGCTTCTTTTATTATGACTTCTGGTAAAGTTTCAATCAGAGGAACGTGGCTACCAGCATACCAAGCAATAAGTACATTTGGGTTGTTTTCAGCTTGAACCATACCGTTGAAGTCCAAAAGCCATTCAAAATTTTTCTGTTTAAGCTCTTCTATATCTTTAGCTATCCAAAGAAAGGCCCATTCATCATTTTCCTCATACCATCTTTCAGGAAAATGTAAAATTACTTTCAAAATAGCTCCAAAGCCGATATTTTTGATTGCGCTTATTTTGTCTGTGGGCAAAGCTGGCATAAATAACTCTTGATGATTAGCCTTAAGTACACCAACAGATGGAGTAAATATTACATGGTCAGCTTCATATTTGCTGCCATCTGTTGTGGTTACAATAACTTTATCATTCTTTTGCCAATCGGAAATATTTGAGACAACTTTTTTGAAGAATATTTTATCATCTATTGGTAATTGGTTATCAGGATTGGGATATTTTTGCATCATTATTTCTAAAATTGTTTTATAACCATGGCCATTCCAGTGCATACCCAAATCTCCTTCACATTTTCTGTAATTAGTGTTTTCATTCAAATCATGTAAGTCCAAAGGACTGTCTAGAGAAGAGATATAAGACTCTATCCATATTTTAGCTTCGGAAAATATTTCTTTTTGTTTTTCGTTTTTGCCAGAAGCCTCAAACACTTTGGATCTAAAAATAATTATCAATTTCTGAGTTACTGAATTATTTATTACCTTATATCCAAACATTCTCCTACAGACGTAGCATTATCGCACTCGGGCAGTGGTTTGTCTGTGGCTTCTAATGATTCAGTAAACTCCCAAATTTTCCTCACAGTTTCTTCGTCAACTTTTTCACCGTTTGAACGAATTACTGGAAATTTATTAACAGAATGCCTCAATACATCCAAGTCTTTTACCATTGAGTAGACGATATTGCCTTCCTGGCCATGGCAATATTCTGCGCCTAAGTCCACATAAGCGTTTCCAAATTTTATACTGTTAATACGACCACCTAGAAAACTTTGTATGATTTTTGGAAATAAAAAGATTTTTGACATAGATACCTATTCTGTTTTCAGCTTCCAATATTATAAGGTTTGTAAAATTGTTTTTCAATAATTTTGTAGCAGCAGCTATACCAGATGGTCCACTACCTATCACAATTATAGCTGAATCTGATGGTATAATTGAACCAATAATACCATGGATAAGAAAAATTGGAATTAATATTGCTGTTTTAAGCCACATACTGAAAAACTTGCATAAGAACTAGTTATGTATTACTATTTGTAAGACTCTGTGTGTGTTATCAAATAATTATTATCACTATTTAATGTTTATGTTCAAATTATTTTGTTTTGATTAAAATTAGATGCCCATTTATCAGAATTTCACAATAATATAATGCAGATATTTAATTTACCAATAGATCATTTTTTTATTATCACAAAATAACAAACAAAATATGTGAATAATCTTATTTCAAGTAACAATAGTCACTGGGCCTATAAATCCCCTTTATATAAATCAATAACCTTATCAGCTTCTCTGTATCCAGATTCTATAGCACCGTGCGCAGTACCAAAGTAATAGGGATGAGTAGCTTCACCCGCAAATAAAACTGTCAATTTGCCATTTTGATTGAGCAAAGGACTTGCCATTTTTTCCCTAAAACCTTCGACACGATTTTCTATTGAGTCGTAAGAATACGTGCCTCGGAAGTTGGGGTTTGAATACCAAAATGTCCTTTAAAAAAATAATAATTTAGCAATATTATATTACAAATGATGATGTTTACCTTAATATTTTATCAGGCATTGTTACATTATAATGTGAAGCCAAGAATGTGTTGACAAGATATTCTAGACCTTCCCTTATTTGATTGTCTGTGAGGGTTTCAATATGAGGCACATGGTTGCCCATAAACCAAGCTTGGAGCACTTTCGGATTGTTTTCTGCTTGAAATATACGTTCCAATCCAAGCAACCATTCCAGATTTCTCTAAAAAAACAGTAGGCATATGTGTAAACCACTTTAAGGTTTGAAAATGACTTTTCCTACGAGCGTGCGCAAAGTAGTACTTTTCCGCACGCATTTCGGTTCTAAAAGTTGCACTTTTCCGCACTCAGTGCGGATACAGGCCTTATCCGCACTGAGTGCCGAAAAGTAAAAATAATTGTCAAGCAACAATAAGTACACCTGTCGACTTTGACACATGATGACAAATTTTTCCTCTGTTCCTGTTCCAGCTAACATCTATACCTACAAACACCAAATTTAATTAACTTCAACACATTGTCAGATTTGTTTTCTATATATATGCATCTACAAACTTTCTCATCAAATTTATAGCATTTTCCATTTGTCGAAACAGGGCAAAAAAATGTATCCTTATCCTTACATGTTACATGCTTTTAGAAAAAGATGCGGATGCACTCAGTGCGGCACTGATGACAAATGGAAATCGCCATTAAACGCTTTAAGATGAAGAGCTCTGACGATGATTTTCTGTTATATTTTTTTTTTGTTATGTAATTTTTTGATAAATGCATAGGTTCCCTTCAAGTTAATTAAAAATAATTAAACAAATTATCGTTTTTTTTTTAAATTTTTGTTGTTACCTACCTGATATGAAGCTCGTAGGAAAAATTTTGTTCCTAACACGTGCGCAAAGTGTCTTTTCCGCACGCAAACACGTATCCGAACTCCGCTTCGCGTCGTTCGTATAACTGTGTTTGCGTGCGGAAAAGTAACACTTTGCGCACTTGTTAGGAAAATAACTATTTTCTACTTGCGTGCGCAAAGTAATCACTTTGCGCACTCATTTGCGTGCGCAAAGTTGAACTTTGCGCACGGAAACTCTTTGCGCACTCATTTTTGTTACGCATAATTACCATAGTTATACTTGATTTTTCAATGTTTTGATGGTTTCTGAATAAACTAATATTCATAATGAAGAGTTTTAGTTGATATAAGCGCTTAGTTAACATGATGTTTCCTATCAAAGGTGTCCAAATTGGACCAGCCTGTACTGCTAGGAATTTGTACAATTTTTGATATTTGAGAGACTCTCATGAAAATATTCTAGCTGGTATTCTAGAAATTCCAGAAGATGTTAAAAGATTTTTTGGGATTTTAATTTAAGACATTCTAAGGAATTCCAATAGATTTTAAACGATTTTTGAAGATTTTGATTTGATTGATTTTTCTAATATTGTAATAATTCAAAGTCTACTTTTTTAAGATATTCGTAGAAAAAATATTGTTCCTAACACTTGCGCAAAGTGTCTTTCCCGCACTCAAAGCTTATCCGAACTCCGCTTCGCGTCGTTCGTCTAACTGCTTTTTCGTGCGGGAAAGTATCACTTTGCGCACTTGTTAGGAAAATAACTATATTAGGCCTATTCGGGTTTGGAAAAAGTACGGTTCTAGAACGGTCCAGAAGAATCGCACAGTTTATTATTGAAATTTGTGATAGTCGAGTCGTTGTTATTTTGTTGATCAATAAACTGGACGATTGTTTTGAACTGTTCTAGAACCGTCCTTTTTCCAAACCCGAATAGGCCTGTTATTGTCTAAATACTGACGTTACTGGAGGGACTTTTGGGCAGAAAAGAAAAGAAAAACAAATTTGAGCGTCTGCAATGCAAGAACAACCTGGAAAAAGTGGTTGTGTATAGATAAAACCAAATAACGACAATCATCTAGGATTCTCCCCAAAAAGTCTCACAATCCTAGCTACCGAGATAAGGAGATGTAATTCTATAAAGTGAGCTCAGGAAATCCTAAAAATAGAATAGGGCCCCTATTTTGTAAAAATCTCGCATATGATAATATATCATATGAAATTTCTTATGAGAGAATTGACATAGCAGCGTTGAAGCATCTGAAAAACTACACCGTTTGCAACAGTAATTCAGAAAGCAAAATCTAATTCAAAGAGCATCAAATGTAATTCAGAAAGCATCAAGTGTTATTCTTCTTCTTCCTGTCCGTTTGACTCTCGAGAGAGTATGGTGACATCTTGTCTCAGTTGCTCAGATTGTGTTTCTCCATCCTTCGCTGTCCTGAGCTGCTAGAGAAACTTCTTGCAGACTATGGTCGATAATTTTTTTGGTTTGATCCACCCAGCGCGTCGGAGACCTTCTTCGGGGTCGTTTACCATTTATTTTTCCTTCGACAATAAGTTTTTCCAGTCCGTCTGCTCTTCTTGAAATGTATCCAAAGTACTTCAGGTATGACTGGTTTATTTTGGTTCAAAGTCTCCCAGACAGTACAAATAGTTTTAAAGACGTCTATTTCGGGTCTACCATATGTCTCAACGTCTGAAGACTAAAAAAAGTCGTCTATGTAGAAGACGTTGCTTTTATCTATTTAATTTATTTAGGATAGAAAACGAAGACGTCCATAAGATGTCGTAAATTCACATCTTAAAGACAACTATTTGGTACAACCAACAAGGACGTCTTTAAGACATCTCGTTGAACACGTCTTAGGAATGTCTTAGTCCTAAACAGGTCTTTAGGCAGATATCTGAAAGACGTTGGGTTTTGTAACATACGACGTCTTCAAGGTCGTAAGCAAGGCGTCCTAACATACGACGTCTTCAAGCAAGGCGTCTTCGTCTTGAATGTCGTTTGTGGGAATCTTAGGGACGTATTTAAGATGGCTATAAAAATTTCCCACAGAATTCGTCTCTCACGTTTTAGAACATTTTTGGAATCTCCAGAAACATTTTGAAAAGCACCAGAATTTTCGGATTCAGGTTAAAAGTTACAAAATGCCTTTCAGAAGGCGTTCAAGAGCAAATTTAAATTGCTGTAGAACTTTCAACCTTCAATAAGCATCCAAAACAGTTCAAATCCAAATTAGAATTTTCTAGAGCATTTTGGAACAATTTGGAAACTTCAGAGTTATTTTAGAACAATAAAAATTCAATTAGTTATGGAAACATTTTAGAACTCTTAATTTTGAACCAATTTAGAACTCTTTGTAGCATCAATAGGGCTCTAAAATACTCAAAAATCTGTCAGAACGATTTAGAAATTAGTAAAAAACTTCTAGAATGCTCCAGAACTCTTCAAGCCAGGTTAGAACACTTTAGAACTTCAATAGGCCATTAAGAACGTTCCAAAACGCATTCCAGCAGCATTTTGGAAGGCTTCAGAACAATTTAAAATCCTCAGAAATATTTCAGAGAGCCTAGCGCCTGGAATAGACAAAAATTGAAAGTTATAAAATAAGTAATAATCAAGAAATATTAGCAAGCAAGAAAATATTTTTCTTTCAATCCAAATTCTGGAATTTTCATTATTATTATTTTTTGGTTGATTTTGCTTTATTTTTTTATTCTAAATTCTCAATTTTCTTTTGGCTCTTGAAGTTTTTTATTCCACGTTCTTGAATTCTCATTTATTCTCGTATTTTAGAATTTCAGGCTCTTGATTTATTTTTAATTCACTCCCTCTTCTAAGTTTTTCTTCCAAAATGAATTTTGCGTACCTACGTTTTCGTTCAAAAGAAATCAAGAATTTAAGAGCCTAGCGTTTGGGAAAGACAAAAATTGTAAGCCATAAAATGAGTAATAATGAAATATTGGTCCTGAAGACGTCTTTAGGCAGACGTTTGGAAGACGTTGGATTTTCAAGATGTCTCTGTGCTGTCTGGGATCTGGGAAACCACAGAAATTAACCACGAGTCTGTCCTGGAATCTTCTTCAACAACACTTACAAAATAAAAGGCTTCTAATATCCAAACGTATTGACAAAATATTGGAACTTATTCTGTTCCACTTGCTGATATAGGCAAAATTCACATTGATTAGGACAACATTAGTAGGTACCTACCATTAAGGATTCCAGATGGTTTTTAAGGACTCTGGAGTAGCTGGTGAACTAGAACTCGCAGTTATAAAATGAGTAATAATAATGAAATATTAGTCCTGAAGACGCCTGAAAGACGTTGGGTTTTGTAACATAGGGCGTTTTTAAGATGTCTCTAAGACACCATAAAGACGTAAGCAGATGTCTTAATGAATGTCGTTTGTGGACATCCTAGGGACGTCTCTAAGATTTCTGTGCACTGTCTGTCTGGGTTTGAAGTGACTATCAGCTGCAAGAATTGATATGTTCTGTTCTGTGAACGAAATTCGGAGCATTCTTCTGTACGTCCACATTTCAAAAGCACCTATTTTTCTTCGGTTCCCTGTTTCTAAAGTCTAGATCTCAGAGGCATGTGTGGCAATGGGAAAGACTACTGGAAAACTATGGGTGACCCAAAGATTTATGGAAAGGGCATTACCATGCGGAATAACGCAATTCGAAACAGAACCAAAAAAGTTATATCCTAGAGAGAGTGGCAAGCTTTTAGTGGGAATGGGTTGGACATGTGGCTAGAAAGAACGCGCAGACAGGTGGACGCACATAATTACAAAATGGAGACAGAGTCGAGTCAGACAAGGGGAATAGGCAGACCACAACTGAGATAAACAGATGACAACATAAAGATAGCTGGAAAGAAGAGGATGAGGACGGCACAAGACAGGGAAAAGTATGGTAAAGGCCTATATCCAGCACTCAGCACTGGATGGGAGATGGCTGTTTTGAGTCTTGTCTCAACACTATTTTCACTAAGAGCAAACGATAAAAACTGGAAGTCGGAACTAATCTTAAGTTATCGAGAACCCACTCAAGCAAGTGCGTTCCTACTTCTTTTTGATGAATTAATAACAATTACAAAACAAAACGAAGTACCTACCTGAACCTGAAGATGAGCCCATAAATTAGTCACCGGAAAGACAAGGCTAAATCAATTAAACTGTGGGGACCAAATAACATATTCATATACAGTGTATTCGGAATAACTTGAAGTATATGCGTTGCTATTTCGAGTTCAAAGAAGTTGATGAGAGACTATTTGTAGGCACTTGATTGCGCAACTTTTTCCCCATTTGGTCCACCCTGTATCTTCAATGGTTTCCAAAAATCCCCATGTCTTCAAGTGATTTCGGACACCCTGTATATATATAAGAAAAAACCCTATTTATGACCGACACGAGCTATTCGGCTGTTTTGATAGATGCGCCTCACATTCTTGCGACATCAATATTGTCCCCAATAAATGATGATTTATGGATTCCGATAAAAAAAGAAATTGCGACATCCTCGCTTCATATCTTGATAATAATAATTCTTAGAAATAGCTGGAGAGGAATTTTGAAGTTACGCGAAGATCTATTAGGAAAATCGATACAACGTAAAGAATCCTGAGCTACAAATAGGAATCAAGAAAAAAGTAAACGAGTGAGTCGTCGTCGGAACCGTGTCCCTGAATCAGGGACTGACTAGCGTAAAAGACAACTGAAACAACGAAATTAGATCACCAAGCAACAAGAAGAAGAAATGGATGACAGAGGAAATATTGATACTCATGGATAAACAAGAATTTTCAAAAACGAGGACAAGACTGAGTATAAAAGGTTCAACAGAGAGAACAATGGTCACAAGAAAGGTGCACAGAACTGGAAGAATTGGAGGAAAAATATGACCACTTTAACACATAAATTAGCGGAAAAAGTTACAGGCCGAATAAAGCCTTGCAATAGGCCCCTTGCATCAAATTTTTTTATTGCTGATTTCGATAGTCCATGAAAAATAAGTCAACACGTGTTTTTTCTTTTTCTTCTTAGTCAAAAATTGACGGAGATACAACGCTATGAAATATGCCTATGACGTCATCAGGTATAATACTTTATGACGTCGCACATGCTCAGTATATCTATATATACAAAACTTAATATTTGTATAACTTCCGAAATAATCATATTTGGGCGAAATGAAAAAAAAGTAACGATTTTTTTTTCGATTTCCTACAGTTTGCAATAAACAATAATCAATTTAATTTTCCATGCAAGTACCCTATTTGAGTAACATAGTGAAGGACAATAGTATCATCTGTGATCCCCCAGGAACTCTGCCATTGGAAGAACTACACGCAACACTTTTATGCGAAGAATACCAAAATAGATTTCAATCAAGAATATGAAGGTGAACCCTCTCCAAAAATACTGAAATCAGAAGTCCTCAAGGCAATTGAACAAAGCAGGCAAGGGGAAGTAGCAGGACCAGACGATGGTATATACAGAGATAATAAAGCTGCTAAATGACGAGAACGTAGACTCCTTGGTGGAAATATTCAACATATTATGAGATCAGCGAGATACCACAAGACTGGCTCCAGTCACTTCTTGTATCGTTCCCATCAAACGTAAATCACTATGATCAATTTGATGACAATTTAATCTTGAAAATGAAAATGTTCCTACAGATAATCCCTCGGATAATCCATACGAGAATTCACAACAGATGCGAAAGAGACATTGCTCCTACTCAGTTCGGGTTCAGACAAGGCTTCAGCACACGAAGAGCACTTTTTAGTCTATAACCGTATTACTTCAGAAATGCAGAGACCAGCGTGAAGACGTTTTCATGTGTTTCATAGATAATCAGAAGGCGTTCGACTGCGTCAAACACACTGAGCTGAGATAATAAAGATGCCTCAAGATAGGATGATAGTAAGTACGATCTACGATTTTTAAAGAGCCAAAACATAAATCAAACAGCATCAAGACACTACACAGAAATTCCTGATAGAAAGAGGAGTAAGACAGGGTTGCGTTCTGTTTCCCTACTCTTCAATCTATGTATATATCTATCTATCTATCTATCTATAGAGTAAAAATTCTTGACTGGCTTGTTTAATAGGTGAGATGATTCTTGGGATGCAGTCTTGGCATAAATAAAACTAGTTATTCACAAACGCCGAGCTTTCGGAAATTTTAGTCTCCTTTATCAAGGCTAAAAGTATAAAGTGAAATAAAAATTGTTGAAAATATAAAATATCTATAAAAACTTACGTGTAAAATTAGTTAATTTATTATAGAATTAGCCATTGTTGAAAATCTATTGGAAATTTAGTCTTTTCTTTGAACCTCTTGCTTTATCTTGAAATTTTGCTTCTAATAATTTTGAAAATTGAATTGAAATTTGTCAAGAAATAAAACTGGTTTTGTTCTGTGCTGGTTTTCAACAAAGGTAATTTTACAATGTTCAGTTATTATTTTATACAGTTTTGGTGAGAAGATTCAATTACAAATTTTTTTTGTAATTCTAATAATTAATATAATTCCTCATTGAGATATAGAATTTAAAAGTAAGGAATAAATAATATTCAGATCTTCCATGTCTTTCTTTTTGTTAATACAATTTTTATCATTATGTATGTTAACCATTTCTAAAAATAATCTTTTATTGTAATTTTGTTTTATTTCCAAAATTTCAGGATTTAAAAAATCAAACATATGATTTGTGTCCAATATATGTTCAGATAAGCTGCAACTTCTTTTATTTAATCTATAGTCACTTTTATGTCTATTTATTCAGAATAAATACCGCTTTGTAAATGCTGCATTTACTCCGTGCTACTCTACGGAGTGGAGACATGGACAATAAAAAACATAAGAGACTAGAAAAACCTCGACGCCCATGCACTCCTCTGAACCGCGCAAGATCGAAACGAATATGCCAAAATTGTCGCCAACCTGCAATAATGGATAAGGCAACTTAAGAAGTTCTGAATTATATTTGATGTTTTCTGAAAATATTAATAACGAGCGACATGCTGATAAAAGGATAAACGATCCTCAGGGCGCACAAGATGGAAAACTGGAGACCTATTAGCTTCTACTGCTGTTGATCTTCTACAAGCTCCTTTTTTTAAAAGAACAAGCAGACTTATCCAGAAGTTCTACTGCTACTTCTATTTTCTAACGCATTGAAAAAGAAAAATCTATGACGCGGGCAGGTGAAACCTAAAGTCGCTACTAGTCTAGACTCATTGTAAAAAACGCAACTGAGCCTGAACTATTCCAGAAGGGCATCAATCTGTTATCAAATATTAGTTCAGATATCAATCGCTGATTTTTTTACTTCACGAATATGTTTTTTTCTGAGATCAAGAACAGAAACTTTTCGGGGTGACATATGGTGTACCTTTCGAAGTTCTTCCGAAGCCCTTGCTCAGAGTTTTGAAAGGACTAGTAGAACTAATTCATATTTCTTTTCTCAATGGAATATTTCCTTCTTTAAAAATTGCCAAAGTAAGTAATTTCTTTGTGATATTATAGACCTGTATCTCATTCACTGTCAACTTTAGCTTAAGTCGTTGAGAAATGTATGAAAAGATATATGGCATCTTTCATTTATAGACATCATCTTTTAAGTACGTTCCAGTTTGGCTTCCAAACTTTGAGAAACAACATTGAAGCTGCTGGGAAAAAAATGACTGAAGCGAAAACGGCACAAGAGATTAATGGTGCCTATATATCTAGCATTGCAAATAATTATTTGAAGTTAATCACAAACCTTTATTGCTCTGTTTTTATCTTCCTCGGTCCACAAAAATACCCAATGAACATCGTTCTTGTACCATTTTTCAGCAAAATGCATTATTATCTTCAAAATAGCCCCATATCCAGTTTGATTAATAGAATCAATTTTTTCCCTTGGCAAAGCAGGCTCAAATAATTTACCATAATTCTCTTTCAGAACCCCTAGAGATGGCGTAAAAATAACATGGTCAGCTTCAAAAATACTCCCATTCGATGTCTTCACAGTAACTTTCTGATTGTTATGCCAGTTTGATATATTAATGACAGTTTGATTCAAGTGGATTTTATCGAATATCGGAAGCAGCTTCTTGGGGTTTGGAAATTTTTCCATCATAATGTCCAAGATTGTTTTAAATCCGTGCCCGTTCCAGCTGCTATCAGGGCCTTCGCACAGTCTAAAAGCACTATGAAGATTTAAGTCGGATATATTTAAAGGGCTTTTAAGGCTCAGAAATGCTTTTGTCCAAAGTTTGGATTCTGTGAATATTTGTTTTTCTTTGTCGTTATTGGCTGAGCTTGTGAATGTCTTGGATCTAGAATGTTAACGATTATTGTCATTTTACATTAATAAATAAATTTTTTACCTTATATCCAAACATTTCCCAACAGACTCCACTTGTTCACATCCAGGAATGCTTTCATTAGATGGCAATAATGATTCAGCAAATTTAAGTATTCGCTTTGCAGTTTCGTCATTGATCTGTTCTCCGTTTGAACGATAAAATCTGCTTTTATAAGTTAAAGGTTTCAGTACATCCAAATCTTTAGCCAAACTGTATACAATACTATCAGCTTCTCCATCACAAAATTCAGCACCCAGATCCACATAGGCATCTCCAAACTCGACACTATTGATTCTTCCTCCGATTCTGTTTTCGGCTTCCAATATCCTGATATTTCCGATGCTGTTTTTCGAAAGTCTTGTAGCTGCAGCTATACCGGAAGCACCACTGCCTATTATTATAATATTAATTAGGTAACGGCCCAATTAAGGACCGATTGAGAAGTGTTTTATCTCTTATCTTACTTGTATTATTATAATGTCTGGTTTTATTGATGAAGGTTGCACTAAATTTTGGATTAAAGAAAAAACGAATATTGCTGTAAAGCAACACATCATTATTATTGTTAAATGTTCAACAAAATAAAGCTGATGTTTTTAATAATTACTTATGACAAATTTTACTTCAGTTTTGTGCTAATCAATTTATTTAAAAGGTTAATTGTTCTGGTTAAGGTCAAGATAGCAAAATTACATTACTCAGAGTGATTTTTGTTTATTCGATATAAATTTAGGAAAATCATAAATTAATCCATTACAAATTATCCTTGAATCAGTTCATAACTGGGAATGTTCCCAAGTTGGTCTACTAGTGCATATTTTTAGACCTTTGGTATTAAAGAGACACTACTATTTAAATCTACCTAACTTGCCTAAATTCAAAATTTAGTCGTATAAAAAAAGCCCTAAATTATGTATATCAAAATCATTACAAAAATTAATTATTATTGTCCAGGTACTCCTAGGTCATCGACACCAACGCACTGCCAGTGGGTCACCAGGGAACATAAGGTAATACTACAATCTATACCAGACGCAGCGTCATCAAAAGTTTATATGTATATAAATAGTTGTTAATTAACTGTTTAATAAAAATCAGAATTATTCCAACAATGATTCTTACATGATATGATACAAACTTCCCTGGTGTATGTATGTAACCCAACCTACAAACTACCAAGTGTTCTGAGCATCCTCCTAAATTCCAATACAGGAATTTACGTAACTTCTGGAAAATCTGATAATAAAACTTTCGAATTATTTATTTATAGAAATCACTGCATACAAAGGCTAAACTTCAAATAGTTTCTTATTAATTATTGCAATTTGAAAGGAAAATTAAAACAGAGAAGAGAGTCTAATTTCCTAGCGATTTTTTTCCTGGGTGGTGGCCGACTCTGTTTTATAGCTACCTTTCGTTTCGAATTTCCTGGACTATTGAATTCTATTCGCCAATGTTTTAGTCATCAGGCAGTTTTGCAAGATTGTGCACAATTTATAAGTAAAAAAGTCAGTAGAAGGCGAAATTTTCTAATTCCTTAAACAGATTGAAACTCCAAAACCAGTTGAATGATTATTTGGTTTATAAATAAATTGTTTTTTGAAGGTCATGGTGTGCAGGTCGCAGCTAAAAAAGATCAGCAATTATACAATCAATTATATTAATTATAAGAATAAATATTTTTTTCATTAATTTATCTATAACAAAATGATATCGAAAATACTAAAGCCAAATTTACAGTAGCCACTCCGACGAAATATTAGCGTGCAAAAATACTCAAATAAATAAGCCTTTAGCTAATCAACTTGACCATGAACATAAATATTTGATAACAAATAATTATTTAATTGAACAGAATCTCAATAATTCTTTAATTTAACTTTGTAAAAATGTGGTTTAAAAAAATAATTGCAATAATCTTCCTTATCTATGGTACAATTGGTTTGGTCCTACCATCAGACCCTTCTATAATTATAGTAGGCAGTGGACCAGCTGGTATAGCTGCAGCAACCAAATTATTAAAAAACAATTTCACAAAAATTAAAATATTAGAAGCTGAAAACAGAATAGGTATGCCAAGAACTTTTATTTTTATTAAATTAATTGAATTTTTTGTTAGGAGGTCGTATCAACAGCATAAAATTCGGAGATGCTTATGTGGACTTGGGTGCACAATTTTGCCATGGCCAAGAAGGCAATATTGTCTATTCAATGGTTAAGGATTTTGATATATTGAGGCCATCTACTCACAAATTTCAAATGATTCGCTCCAACGGAGAAAAGGTTGATGAAGAAACTGCCAACAAAATAATGAATTTTGCCGAATTATTATTAGAAGCCTCAGAAGAAGATCCTTTGCCTGAATGCGAAAATGCTAAGTCTGTTGGAGAATGCTTGGATATTAGGTACCCAATTATTTTAGCACAGTTGCAAATGATAAATAAAATTCCACTTTTAGATCCAAAGTATTAGAAGATTCTAGCAAAAACGACAAACAAAAAGAAATATTTTCCGAAGCTCATCCATGGGCAAAATCTTATATTTCAGCCCTAGACGGTACTTTAGACTTGTACGATTTAGATTATAACACAACCTACAAAACATGTGGAGGTGATTTAGGTATGAACTGGAATGGGCACGGTTATAAAACAATTTTGGAAATTATGATGCAGAAGTATCCAAACCCCGACCACCAGTTACCAATAGACAATAAAATTTTCCTTGAACAAACTGTGGCAAATATTTCCAATTGGCAAAATGATAATAGAGTAACTGTTACTACAACAGATGGCACAAAATATGAAGCTGACCATGTAATATTCACCCCATCTGTTGGTGTACTAAAGGCTAATCATGAAGAGTTATTCACGCCAGCTTTGCCTGCAGACAAAATAAGTGCAATTAAAAATACTGGATTTGGTGCTATTTTAAAAGTAATTGTACATTTTAATCAAAGATGGTATGAAAATAATCCTACGTGGGCTTTTTTTTGGACTGCTAAAGATGTAGATGAGCTTGAAGAGAAAAATTTAGAATGGCTTTTGGACATGGAGGGTGTGGTTCAAGCTGAAAACAACCCGAATGTACTAGTTTTTTGGTACTCTGGCAGCCACGTTCCACTTATTGAAACCTTATCAGAAGCAACAATAAAAGAAGCTCATGAATACCTTATAAATAAATTTTTAGCTCCGCATTATAATGTTACAATGCCAGATAAGTATATAAGGTAAAGCAAACCAACACTAATTAAAAAATAATTTACAAGGTAATTATTTTAGGACAACATGGTTTAGTAATCCCAATTTCCGTGGAACTTATTCATATGAATCGGTTAAGGGCCATTCTGGAGGCCAATACAACCTGCAAGAAAAACTAGGAAGTCCTCTGATGAATGAGGATGGTAAACTTACTTTACTATTTGCTGGTGAAGCTACGCATCCACATTATTTTTCCACTGTACATGGAGCAATTGAAAGTGGATATAGAGAAGCTGACAGACTCATAGAAGTTTACACAAAATAAAATAAAATATGTACTTAGCTAATCTAATAAATATTGAAAAATTTTCAATTAAGAATTTACTTAAATTACCTAAATTTAAGTGCAGAATTTTTTTTCCTGAGAGAAAAAGCACAGTACAAGCTTTCTTAGTATACTAAACGCTTGTTTCTGTTCTGATTCATCATCTACTTTCCAAAATTGACAGAAAGAGAAGACCTTTCCCTCTTCACAAATACAAATTTAATGGATCGTTTCCCAGTTATTTCCTCACTGAAAATTACTAAAAGTACCATTATCAGGTTATCCCCACCAAATGTCAAGCCAATTGGTTCAAGGTTTCAGTAAAAAATTAACAAAAACCGCATTTTTCAACTAACATTCAAGTGGTTGTGAGTATGGTGGCTCACTCCTTCAATTTGTTCCAAAATTTGATTTAAAAAAAAATTATCTTGCACTTTTCAAAGGTGCCTTAGAATTAGAACAACGTAAATCGAGTACTTAGAAGTCTCAGGACAAAGAAATTGAAACCTAAATTGTTTGAAAGACATTTTTATTACCTTCATTTTCATATTTTTTAAAATTTATACATTAACATTAAGCAATGCTGCTAGCGTTGGATGCAATTCTGGGCCACAAATCGGCGCATTCTTTCGCTACTGGTCCAGTGATCGCCGATCCTTTCATTTCACCTTTGTTGTTGACTATCACTCCGGCATTGTCTTCGAAATAGATAAAGACACCATCCTTCCTGCGGAACGGCTTCCTTTGCCTGATGATCACTGCGGGCATTACTTTTTTACGGAGTTCTGGCTTTCCTTTTTTGACTGTCGCCACGATCATGTCGCCCGCAGCAGCGGCTGGCAGACGATTCAATCGTCCACCAATTCCGTGGACAGCGATGACATACAAGTTTTTTGCACCTGGAACAAGAATAATTCAAATTATAATTTATTCATCGATGATTGTCATCGGAGAAACACGGAAGAGAATACTTCGTCCTCTACCACACCGCCTCTGAAGATGTCTACCGCAGCAGTAGACGAAACGTTAGGTAGAAATACTAATGGACCACGGCATTATAGCCCGGAACTTTTTTACTAGATTTGACCGGCTGTGAAAGCCTTCATTCTTTATTCAGTTCAACATAGTTTTTATCTATCAAGATTTCCGCCTGCCACCACTTGTACAGTGGACCAGAGTTGGGAACTCAATAGAAAAGATTTCACAGAGGAAAAAGTTACAGAAGCATTAATGAAGAAGAAAGATTCAAGTGCTGGATCAGATGAAATTCATATAGTAACATTTATTTTATTTTTTTATTTATTTTATTTATTTCACATTACATTATATATAAAAAAATATACAAAATATGAAGTGAAATATCGTCATTAATTATTTATTTACCACTTACTACTACTAAAGTACCAAGTGGTAGCTTCTTAACATAAGATTACTAAATTATCTGAAACCAATGTCCTATCAACAACTAGACATCTTTAACCTATTCACTACTTAATACTATCTACGTAAGTAGTCATCCATACTATATGGTTCCAAGTTGATTAAGAGGGCTTTTAGTTTTCTTTTAAAGATCCTTTCTGTAGTTATACGTTTTGTACTTTCATCTAACTTGTTGAAAAGTCTTATTCCCATATAGTATGGATGCTTCTCTGACAATGTCAGCCTATGCACAGGGAAATTGATATTGTTAGTGCGTGTATTATGACCTAGAGCATTGAAGATATCTTTATTTTTAAATGCAAACAAAATAGTTTCAAATATATACAAGGCGAAAATAGTTAACAAATTTTTAGATCTGAAAACACCTCGACAGGATTGTAGAGGAGGCATTTTGTAGACAGTTCGAATCACCCTTTTTTGAACAGTAAAAATGTCCTGCACCCCGGAGTTTGCTGCCCAGTAGATTATGCCGTACCTATATATAGTATAGCAAATTCGAACAACCATAGACAGCTCCAAGAAGACCTTGAAAAAATAGAAAAATTGACCAAAATGTGGGGCATGAAACTCAACGAGGAGAAATGTACAGTACTTAGCATAGGAACGAATAGAACCGCCCACAACTACCAACTAAACAACACATCTTTAACTCATGTCGATCAACAAAATGATCTTGGCATTATTATAACCTTCGATTTAAAATGAGAGTCGCATGTCAACAAACTTGTAAAAAAGTCAAACGCTCTCATTTACTGCATTCAAAAAGCCTTCTCAGATAGATCCATAGAAACAATAATGCAATTGCATAAAACATATATTAGACCAAAACTTGAGTATGGAGGGACGATATGGAATCCATATTTTGCAAAAGATATAGAGTTTTTAGAAAGAGTTCAGAGGCGGGTCACAAAAATCCCAGTAGAATTAGCAAACTTAGAATACCCTGAAAGACTGAGGAGACTAAATCTAACAACACTAAGGGAAAGACGTTTGAGAGGAGACCTTATAGAGATATATAAGATATTGCTGCCATATTACCAAACAAACCTTAATATATTTCATGCAAATACAAATACACAGCTAAGAGGTCATAGCAAGAAATTGGAGAAGGAAAGAAATGCCAAACTTCCCAGAAAAAACTTTTTAAGTAATAGAATCGTTTATCATGGGAATGCGCTATCTGAGGATACAGTTTGTGCTCCAAGTATCAATTCTTTCAAAAATAGACTTGACACTCAACGTGACACACTAGAAAACATTGTTTCGCATTGTGAAATGTAACCATCAAATAATCAACAGTTTCATCGGTCATAACTGCCTACTGTTGTATATCGTAAACGTAATCGTACTTCAAAATTGTACAGAAACAGTCGATGGTCGGGTCACAGAGGTGATGAAGGAGTGCATGGAGCTTGGAAGAATCCCAAAAAAATGGAAACTTTCCATAGTAACACCTTTATACACGAAAGGCAACAGACACAAACCAGAAAACTATTGACCCATAGGTCTCACACGCAACCCATTAAAATGCATGGAAAAAATAATTGTGCAGGTAAAAAGGATCCACTACAACGAATCTGCTCGAATCCCTGATGATTGGACAAAAGAGTATGATAATGGTCAGCCAACATTTTATATAATTTACCTCAAACATGGAAAAGCCTTTGATAAAGTTCCTCATAATCTTTTGCTGGGAAAGTTGGAGCATTTTGGTGTACATGAAAGGTATTATGGTACAAGTCAATGGTTGTTGTTGGATAAACAGAGTTAGTAGTGAGTGGTGTTGTTCAGGGGTCTGTAGTAGGAGCATTGCATTCACATCACACCTTTTTGATCTTGTCGATCTCATAGAAACATCAATGAAGAAATTTGTAGATGATGGGAAACTGTATGCAAATCCAACTTTACATTCAGCACATCTTTGAAAAGACCTGCAAACTATTGAGGAGTGGTCAAGGGCACGGGGGATGAAATTGAATGAAGCCAAGTGCACTGTTCTTAGGATAGGCCAAAAAAATCCAAATATTAAGTACATGCTAAATAACCAAGTTCTTTCAACAGTACCAGACCAAAATGATCTAGGAGTTACGGTAACATCAAATCTTAAATGGAAAAGTCACATCATCAAAATTGTGAAGAAAGTGAAGTCATCAATTTATCTCATCAAACATGCTTTCAAGGACTACTTGTCAGAGATGGTTACAAAACTTCAAAAAAGCCACATCAGGCCTAAATTGGAGTATGTTTTGCAGTGTGGAATCCCTACTATATCAAAGATATAGAGATGTTGGAAATGGTCCAAAGAAGGGTAACTAAAATTCCATTAGAGTTACAAGCTTTGGACTATCCCGAGAGATTGGAGAGATTTAAATTAACAACTTTAAAAGAAAGAAGGCACAGGGGCGATTTGATCGGAACTTACAAAACAACAAGTGGCTATTACAATTGCAACATAACTAACAAAATCAACAACTTCGCGGGCACTCAAGAAAACTAGATAAGGAAGATTTTTTTAAAATAATCGTGTAGTATAATAATTTAAGTAACTCTTCGAATGCCTTGGGAGAAAATACAGTGTTGACCTCTTGGAATGCCTTGGGAGAAAATACAGTGTTGACCTCTAGTGTGAGAGCATTAAAAAATTGGTTAAATAAAGAACTAAGTAATAATGAAACAAGAATGATAGCTCACTATTGTCTAAAAGTGAACAGATATTCTAAATGGAAGAAGCAATAGCTTCATTGGTTTTCACTGCCTGCTATTGGTCAATTACATGATAACACATGATAAATGACTGAATTTAGGGTGTAGTTAAAATGTTTAACTAGGCAGTGTGAAACTATCGAGACAAGAAATTTTTCACCCTTAACACCTTATTTGTATTCTTGAATCACAGGCGAATTTGCTTATACATGTTGAAATTGAACTAGGATTTGGCAATATTAGCAATTCCAAATTGTCCAGAGCAAGAATCGAAGAAATTACTTTCAAGTTTGCAAATTGAGAAACACTAACTCTACCTTAGACTCTACTAAGTTCAAAATAAGTTAGAAAGTGTCTCAATCAAATTTCAAAAAATAACTATTTTTCTCAAAATTATTTTTTTATTTTTTTTTTGGGGTTGTTCCAGGTAGAAAATGAAGGTGCACTATATGAATTTTTGAATATCATTTCTACTTCAATAATCCCTGGAAATTTGAACAGCCTAGCATTAGCCCTTCAGATTATGAAAGCCAGGTTGTTTAAATTTCAACACCATGTATTTTCAGAACGACGCAATTTCGACTATCGATGTCCTATCTCAAACTACTTTTCTATGGTTCCTCTATAAATCCTAGCATTTTTGATGAATTGAACGGAGACACCCAGTATATACCGCGTGTTTGAATTTAAAACAATCATCACAGACAGATGTGACAGACAATAACAATAACACAGGAAAATGATGACAAATTATTGAAGAATTTGTTGTGAGATAGATACTTTTTTTTGCTAAAAAATATTGTTATTTTTTTGTGACTCAAACCTTGATAGTGTAAATGGATGATTGATAATTTTTAAAATGGATTGGACCATATACAGGGTGTTACAAATTCGTGAGAAAGTATGCGGATCTCGGTATCCATAAGAGATACAGGGTCAGTCAATTTGGGGCAAAAAATTTCAAAACATTTCAATCAAAAAAATATATAATTTGTATGGAGATACTCATCTTTGTCAAACTCATTATTTTATAGCAAATATTGGGTAAATTGTTTTTTTCTGCGATTGACAAGAAATGTCAGCATTTTTGTCCGGTTGACAGGTCGCAAAACTCAATAGAGAGTTATTGGACGTGCAATAAGGACAAGCAGTATTTAAATTAGCCTTATTTTGACATCTACACATGCGCATTTGGGTCCGAAAATAAGGATTCCCTTAATAAGGTTACTGCTTGTCTTTATTTGTGTATGGTTAGTGCGAGGCAGTAAACTTCCCTTATTTCAAATTTCTGACGTTTTGGACGACTTTGACGTTTTGCTTTTCGACGATGACGTAATTTTACTTAGAAAATTTATTTTTTACAATAGTTTTCCATTTTACTGTGGGTAACATCAAAAAATGAGTATCAGCAGAAAATCACAAACAAAAATAAACACTTTTTGAGGCTGAAATTAATAAACATAGCTATCATCTGTCAAAATTATGAATACAAAATAAGGTAATACTCTAGCACCTACTACAGTCTTCCAATAACTGTTTTTTTCTTGGAAAAATAGTGCTGATGCACTAATAAAATAACGTAGATCCTTAATACTGCGAGGCAGTATTTGATAGTTCCAATAACTCTCTAATATTCTGGTATTTCAATTATGTTTCAATAGTTGCTAAGGAATCAATGAATAACAATACAGGAAACACTTTTCCGGTCTAGGCCGGAAAAGTGATTCTCGTATTGCTGAATAATTGGAACTAAAAGACAAACATTTAACAGGTATTTAACCGATCGCAGAAAAAATAGTATGTGTGTTTCGGTGGAAAAGCACATTCTCAGCCTCCAGTGTTTGCCGGCCTCGGCTACGCCTCGCCCGTCAATTTACACTGTCGGCCGAGAATGTGTCACTTTTCCACCTAAATACACAATATACTATTGTTTGACGAAGATAACAGGTATCTCCATACAAATTATCATACTTTTTTGACTGAAATATTCATTATATTGATTATTTGATACACCATTCCATTGAGGAAGTCATCCAGCAAAGAACTACATACAGAAAAAATCAAGAGCTGTATTCAAAAAAATACAGTGGTTGATGTTGGCCCGTCAGATTTGAAATTCCATAATGTCATAGTGTAGCAGAGAAAAAGGTCCAACCATGAAGTGCAATTTATTTTGAAGTATCTTTTTTATTCTACAACATGTAGATCTGGATTCTTAAGCCATCTGAGGTGACTTCTTTTCGGTTTTTAATTTAAATATTTTTAACTTTGTTTGTAACTCTCTCGCTCAGCAACCTACTACCTCAATGGCAACCAAACATTTTTGAGGTTGGGTTTATTGATATTCCCCTCAGTATTTCTCTATCCAGTGCAATTAGAGTTCAGAAATGTGTGCTGTAGGTGGCATACAAAAGTTAGTTCATCAAACAGGCTTATTGGCTTATAGCTATGGGCGAAAATGAAGTAAATTAAACTATTTGGAGGGACCTCACATGTTACAGATGGTGGTAGATTGTGGAGCGATTGTGAGAGATTGTGTAACGATTGTAAGATATTGTGCAACGATTGTGGGAGATTGTGACACGAATGTGAGAGATTTTGTGTGATTGTGTAACGATTGTGTGAGATTGTGTAACGATTGTGACAAATTGTGAATGATTGTGTGAAGATTGTGAGAAATCTGTACACCGACTGCAAGAGCTATTCACCCCTCGGGTAACATCTTTAGTAAATTTATTCTGCTGGTAGAACTAAAAATTGTATTGTATTGTTTGGCTGTATTGTATTCAATTTTTAGTTTTACCAGTAAGATAAATATGCTGATGTCACCAGTTGGTCCATAATTTGGCCCTTAGTCAAAGATTCTACACTTCTAAAAGTAGGCATTCAAAAACTACTTTTGAACTTTGAACTGTTCAGAGTTACTTTCAAAGCTTCTGAGGCAACTCTCAAAGATATTTTTAAATCACTTATGAAAATCTTGAACTCAGTTCAAAATAAGTTTGAAAGTGTTTTAATCAGATTTCGAAGAATGCAAAGAAAATTTACTTGCTCTGATAAGTTCCAGGGTTCCAGGTAAGTCCAACAGTCTCAATCAAATTCCAAACTAACCCAAGTAAAAGATTCTACATTTCCAAGCATTTAGGTTAATATTTTCACAACTCAAGAATTTTGCCCTCAATGTCCTTTCTCATTGTGTTGAAAATATCTGACAGAAAAATTTTAAGATGCAAATGAGGCAATTCCGAATATTTTCAACACATTTCGAGAGTCGAGGCGCACGACTTGAAAGGTCTGTGCTTCCATGTTTCTGCTGGCAAAGAACTTAACCTAACTACACAATAACAAGGCCTTAAAATTAATCCAAGTAAAACTTACCAGTATTGTCAGCACAATTGATAACTGCGCCTACCGGCAGAGCCAAGGAAATTCTGAATTTCGCTCCCGCGGAACCACCACGTCCTGTGAAGAGAAAATAAACACATATCAAAACACTGCAACGAAAAACCGAAAAGTTCGTTTATCCAAAAAAATACAATCTGAATCTAGTGGATCGGAGTTTTCGTGGGGCTTCGATATTCACAAAAACACAATTTTTACTAGGATTGATGGAATATTTTCGGATATTTTTGAACTTTTTGAAAAAAACCTACCTCTCTTCGACATTTTGGTTTTCTGAAAGAAATTTCAATTGTCTGTCTTCTGTCAATAGTGTCAATTTGAATTCCAAATCTGTCGACTGTCAACATTTGTAGCCTAAGTTCCGAAATCAACTGTCAGCTTTGAATTTACTGGACGGCGTTCCGATATTATTTTCAGTACACTGGATTCAGTCGATTCAGTACTGAATGACCACAAGAGTACGCTGCTGAAATCGGAACGGCAAATGACAGTAAAATCCAATACTGGCAGTTGATATCGGAACATAGCCGTAATTTACAGGGCGATTTCGGATTTCAGACACTGCGTTCAGTGTGTTCGTTTTAGGTTGAAAGGGAACCATTGGATCGTTGTTATAGTGCAAATTTTATCGTTCTTTTATTCTGCTCCGAGCGCTCAGAACTCTGTAAAGAGCTTGGATCCGAAGGACCGGGCACCGAGTGCGTATCGATAAGCCTTTCCCCATTTGGCAACATAGCATAAAATAGTTGCTGTTGCCAAATTTCTTGACGTTCGGTTGTCAGCCTCATTTTAATAGGTTATGTTTTGTTATGTAAACTTTAAAGTAAACTAACAGTCTGTAACTTTTACAGTTTTTACCAACTCATTTATTTCTCGACATTATCAACAAACTTCCTCAATTAACAAGTGAACAATTTCCTTCTTAAAAAATGCCCTCTCCTTTAATTGACAGAATTTCTATTGAATTGGGCGGTAAGTAGATGAAAATTGAAATCCTGCATTTCACTTTTCTCAAATACTTAGTTTATTCAGCTTCCTTGATTCATATTTATTATAAAAAAGATCCTATATTGTCCTAGCCCAAGAACCATGGCCAAAAGACGTCAAACTCTTCCAACCGTACGAAGTAGAACAAATTCTCCTCCCTGACAACGCAAACTGCTTAGCGGTTCAAGCTTTTTTGAAAATGTGCAACTTGGAATTCCAAGTAGAACCCAGATCGAACGCTGAATTCATGTCTCCTACCGGCAAAGTACCTTTTATCAAAGCTGGTAGATTCGTTATGGCAGAACTAGAAGGAATCGTGCAATTTGTCAATGGAAAAGGCATTTCTTTAACTGACGGGTTGGACAACGAACAGAAATCCGATTTGAGAGCTTACATGACCTTAGTGAGAAATGTTATCGAAATTGCTGAGCTTTATATTTGTTGGATCGACAGAGAAACATATAATGAAGTTACAAGTGTACGCAATGGTTCAGTTTATCCTTGGCCTTTGAATCACATACAAAATCGAGAGAAAAAGAACCAAGTCATTAAAAAACTAAAAGTACTCGATTGGTATAATAAAACTTTGGAAGAAGTGCATCAGGAAGTTGAAAGCTGTTGTGAAGCTTTGAGTGTTAGATTGGATAATAAACAATACTTTTTCAATGGAGGGTAACAAGCTAAATATTGTATGTTAATAAATATTAACACTAACTTTTAGGCCTACTGAATTGGATGCTTTAGTCTTTGGTCATCTATTTACCATTTTAACTACTCCTCTTCCCAGAAACGATTTGGCTGAAATTGTAAGAAGATATCCTTCCCTTATTAATTTGGTAAAGAAAATTGAAGTGGAATATTTCAAGAAGGATTCTAGGCGCCTGTAATTTTTAATATTGTTATTAGAATTTGAGTGATAAATTTTAGTGTTTTAATGTTAAATAATTGTTTATTTTTTGTAAAACCTATGTTATACTTAGTAGAAATAGCATCTAATCCACCTACAAGCTAATACACAGGCTACGTGAATCACCCTGTATATAATTTCCCTCTCATCTACAGCAAATAATTCCTCATTCATTTGAACATAGAGATATAGTCCAGAACAATTGCTAGCCAGTAACTAGTTTTTTTTTCAACCCCACTTATCTTGTTAGTACGATTTAGGTATTTGGATACATATTTATTTTTTCAAAAATCCATATGAGATTTTAGATTGAGAACTATTGCCAGAAGGCGTTAAACTTCTTCCACTATCAAAAGTGAAACAAATTATCTTCCCTGTCAATCTCAAACTCTTGGTAGGTAGTTTGCACCAACACTTTTTGATCTCAGTTTAATAAAGGCCATTTTTCTACTGACATTTCATAATACGCTATTAAACGATTAAAATCTGTATCATAATGAACTTCATTACGATACAGATTTTCATTATAATACTCATTTTTAATATTATACAATGTAGATAGATGGCAGCACTAGTTAAGATATTAAACATTTTAAACGGTGGTTTTGCCTAAAACAATTATTTTGATAACTATAAAAAAGACTCCGAATTGTTTAAAAGTTACCTTAAGTTTGGGACAAAGAATAATTATTATGGAAATCATGAATGATAACGAAGAATTTTTACTTTCTTCATTATTATACATTGTCAATAGATGGCGCCACCAGTTAAAAAAAATTTGAATTTTTTTTTTTTGAATTTTGACAGCACTCTGTTTATAGCTTTTCCATGGTAATTTAGCGAAAAACAATAATTTAATAAACAAAAATACCTCAAATTGTTATTAAAAGTTAATACCTTAAGTTTGGGAGAAGGCATTATTATGGAAATATTGAGCGATAACAAAGAATTTTCACTAACACCTCTAGAAATTACAGAAAGGGCGACAAATGCAGGTAATAATATACTACCGGACAAGTCCAAGAAAATTTACCAAAAATTATATGGACAATTTATGGATTGGAAACACCAAAAACACATTCGTCCTTCTCAGAAAATGTTTTGATAGTATATTTTGAAGAGTTACAAGAAAAAATGAAACCTTCAACTGTATGGACGCATTACTCAATTATAAAATCCCTATTCAAAGTTAAGCATAATGTTGACATATCTAAATATCATCAAGTTTTATCAATGGCAGTAGAAAAAATAGTGTATGCAACTCTCATGTAATGGCCATTAATACACTCGCATGTTATATACGAAACTCGCCTGCGGCTCGTTTCGTATCCTACAACATGCTCGTGTATTAATGGCTATCATTACATGATCATTGCATAATATACTATTTTTTGACTGCAGTTTAATTTAAACTTAAATGGTGATTTTTGGTGCGCAACTTCAAATGCCAAGTCTGCATCCGGTAGAGGAAAAATAAATGAATCTGCTTAACTCAAGGATTATTGGTCTGAATTGTAGGTTCTACCATATTCCTGGCAGCAACTTTATTGTGGAATAATTACAAAGAAAACAATTTAGTCAGATGTTGATGTAGTCAAGCGTTAAACAATGAGCTTGCATTCTTCATACTTCCACAACAAGAAGTCAAATAATTCCTCACTCGTGTGGATGTAAAGGAATAATATTCTTAGGCCCAAACGGGCTCCTATACTTTATCCCGACTTCATTGAAGATATCCACTGGAAATCCCAAATTGGCAAGATAAAGTTTGCCATTATTATCCGAGTGGGGTAAAGGTAGCACAGGGATTAGGGACAACTTTGGATAGACACCTGGGATTCCTCCAGAAGGTGGATCCAAAGCTAAAACTGGTGCTTTATTTTTATTAATCCAACCAGCTAAAGCAGGATAGCTCTTGGGCGAATCGGAATCTTCACCGAGGGCGCATATAATCAGATCTATGGTGGAAGGCAATTCAGGTACAATGGTAATTGTTCGGTTTCTTGTTAGCATATACAAAGAGAGCTCATTTTTGATCGCAGGAGCGTCTAGCGATACACAATATACAATGGTTCTTACGCCGTGTGAGGCTAGTTGACGAGCAGTGTTTATACCTGCAGCACCTTGACTAAAAATGATAAAATTAGTTGAAGATTATTCGACAATAAGATGGTGGCTTACTTATGAGGTCCGCACAAAACAAGCACCGTAGGCAATTGATGTACATTATTGGGATTTAATCTGTGACCTCCACCAATTAGCTGAATGGCCAGTTCAGCTGCAGCAGTGCCAAATAATTCGATACGTTTTTCCAAGGAAAGTCCAGCTTTCTCTGCTGCTTCAAATAGTTTTTTACGGAGAATTCTGAAATTGAAAATATGTGTTTGCAGGACCTGAATAACAAGAAATAATTGAATATTTGGAAATAATATGTAATTAGAAGCAGGATTTATGGAAATTAAAAAAATGCTATAATTATAACCTACCTTGAAATACAGGGTATTATTAGTCCATCATCTGAAACGTATTCATTACAGTCTTGTTTTGGCACAAAAATTTGACGGGTTGATTGTGGTTGGCTTGCAATCACATTTTCATCATGTCTAAAGAAAAAAAAAACGTCGTATTTTCTCAATAATATACTTGGAAGCAATAGGAAACATTGCATACCTATATTTTGAATTCCAACGAAATACACTTCAAGCAGCACAAAAAATAAAAAATAAATATTTTGCACAATAAATACAAAGATTATTCTTACCTGTATTTTTTCCGATTTTCTGTATTTTTCACAACATCGGGCTTTTGTAAATTGAGCTCATCCCAAATAGCTTGTTTGTCAAACAGGGCCAGGTTCTTTTCGAAATCAAATTCACCTTTTACATGGTGATCCAGAGGAGACCCAAAACATTCCTCGTCTTTCCAACTTTTCACCCATTGCCTTCCACCTGAAGATGAAAAATGATTGCATAAAAAATTCCACCCTTTGCAAAACGTTTACATTTTAGTCAAATTTGATACAATTTTTGTTTCTTCTAACTGTATACTTTTTTAAATTAAAAAAAATCTTAAGAAACATTTTAATTATTGTTAGCAGAGGTCTTCTAATCCCTAGTACACGTGTAATATACAGGGTGTCCCATGCGTTAGGATGCGAATTTCGTGAACTTCTTTTTTGTGAATTTTCATCGCCGTTTTTTATTTGCAGATACAAGGTGTTTCTGGAAATGCTCCATTTGGGGACACCCCTTGTATCTCAGCTATCTAATAACTTAAGGGTGACCTCAGATTGTGACAACAGTATATTTTCAGCTGTATTTCACAACTTTTGTCTCAATATTTGTCTGTTCCAGGCTTTTACCTTTACTTTTTGTTATTCCAAATTCATGTATTTTCTTAAATTTTCTATTACAGGCTGTGGAATTTCTTTTTTATTTAGCGAAGAAAAACATAAAGAAGATAACTAAAATGAGAAAAACAGTAAGAGGTGTTGTGAAAAAATGAGATTTTTCTTTTATCTTTTACTCTGTGAAACTGTTGAAGCTGCATTAGACCTGTTAACTAGAGATTTGTGAAGCATTCAATTTGGTATATTTTAAATATTACGGTTACCTCTACATTGTACTGACATTACCAAAGTTGTAAGGCAAAATGGCCAAAATGTGTATAGATGTCATTTGGAATAACATGTTCTAAACACGATTTTGAAGGACATTTTATTTATCCTTCAGGGAAAATGTTTGTCGGATTGGATTGAAATTTTACAAGTAGATAGAGAAAAGATTGGAATGTGGGTGAAACTATGAAAATTGCCTTTTACTCTTTTACCTTAATAAAAACCAAAGCTAGGTCGGTAATGTCATTTTAGAAAAATGAAATTTACAAAAAACTAAATTTAGGAATGTTTTATTTTTCCTGGAAAATGTTGGAAGGATTTGATTGAAGTTGTGCAAATGAATAGTGACAAGATTTTATTGTAAGAGAAAATATCAAAATTAGTTGAGGCTGCGAAACTATTAAATTGGTTCTGATTTGAGCCTAGTTACCTCGCTAATTACGTTAAGATCAGATTCAAATTAACATATCTGAGAGGCAAATGTGTGTCAAAGCAAAAATCGAATTTTCAAAAAATTACGATGAAGGACGTTTTCTATTTTTTATTTTTGATGAAAATATTTGAGAGATTGGATTGGGTATTTGACAACGTGTCTTTTGGAAGGTTGCTATACAAACTCAATCATTTTGGTGTAAGAGGTAAGAACTCGTAACACTTGAAAATCCTTATAAAAATAATTCTTCAACCATCTCAAGTAAAACCAAACTGCATCAAGAAATTAGAAACCTTGAAGAGGCAGAAAGTGCTGGAAGTATTTGCAGGATTTACCTGTGACCACCAAAGCAGGACGTATTCGGTAACACATAACATGGACCGATGAAATGAATAAAACTGTCATGAGTTGCTATTACTCAGCTATTCAACTTGAAACCATAAAAATATGATTCCGACCACTTCTAATGTAAATTCACCTTAAAAGTGCCGAGCGACTGAAAAGTGGTGAGCGTTTTCGAGGACAAGAATACCGATCCAGAACCAGAAGTATTCGAACTCTTTACAAAAAAACATCCACATCTGAAACAATATGTAACAGCGCAGCGGCTTATGGACCAAATGCGAATAATAATAAACAACAAAAGACTAAAAACTCATGACCTATAAAGCATTAAAGAAGAGGTAGCAAAAATAATTAATGTAAACACAATCAACCTGGAAAAAGATGCAGCAGAGGATATTGGAAGAATAGACACAAACCAAAGTATCTACCTCCATAAGCAACCAAAATGGAAGGAACCCGTCTAACTTCATACTTACATGTGAACGACAGGAACTTAATCTCAAAACCAATCTAGTAAATGAAATGGAGACAAATATCCTAACATGAATGCATATTATTGCATAGTGACCCTAGTAAACGCCCACAGTTACCACATCTAATTTTTAAAGGGAAAACCAACAGTCTTATAAAAATAATGAATGAGAACATATAAAAAAACTAGGTGAAAAAAGAATTATGCCTTGAAGAGTATTGAAGACCTTCAGACCACAATTTACTCTGTGGCAATCACCATCTTAAAATGCAAAAATCAAAAGATCATAGAACACAGAATAAACAAAAAATCTCATAGGAAATCTAAATGACAAATTAGATTTGAAATAGTATATTACATACCGAGGTGGAAAGTGTTTCATTACTGTCGAGAAATTTTAGTTAGACCGAGGCACAGCCGAGGTCTAACTAGAATCTCGTGGGTCGAAAGTAAAAGTCAAAAAATACAATAAATTTTAAAAATTTCATTTACTTTCGGCCCACGGGTCGAAAGTAAACTTTCGACCCGTGGGCTGAAAGTAAAAGTCAAAAAAGTGACATTTTCGAACTTTTTAAAAGCCAGTAAAGTCAACATTACATGTATGATTGTAAATAAATAACATTACAAAGCTGAGATGCAATATAGGGAGAATGACACAATATATACAGGGAAACCAATTAAAAAAAAATTGAAAAATATTACAGAAATAACAAAAACCAATCACAATCAATTCCAGAAATACTTGAAGCATTTAAACAAAAGTTGTCGATATACGCAGTACGCTTACTTAGATACAAGGAATCCAATAGTAGAAAAATGGATAAGTTTCTCTTTAATGCAAATGAAAAACCATTCTACAACAGCCTCAAATATGATAAAGAATCAAAAGTTATACCTCCAACAAAACAAGACATTACATTATTCTGGCAAGGAATTTGGTCAGAAGAAGATAAGCATAACGAGTCAGACTTACGGTGCTACACCCTTATCTGACATCTAAAATAAATAAAGTAATAGAGAATCCAAGTTCCATGCCAACTTTATTAAATGAAGGAAAAACAAACTTGCTACCAAAGGAGGGTGACACGAAAGACCCAGCAAACTTTCAACCAATAACATGTCTTCAAACTCTGTATAAAATGATAAGTTCAGCCATATGCATGAAGATAGAACAACACCTTACGAAAAACAATTTATTAACAGAGGAACAAAAAGAATGTCGGCAAAACAGCCACGGATGTAAGGAGCAGTTAATGATTGCCAGTGTCATAATGAAACAAGCTGAAAAGCAACAAAGAAACCTACAAGTATGCTACATAGACTATAAGAAAGCATTTGACTCAATCCCACATTCATGGCTGAATAAAGTCCCACAACTTTACATATTGTATCCAAATCTTCTCAACTGTAATGGCCACATGCAAAACCTCAATTCATTTATTCACAGATACTGAACACACACCTATTCAACGTGAGATTTTCCAAGGTGATTTGCTAAGTGCCTTATGGTTTTGCCTTTGTCTACATCCTTTATCTAACAACCTCAATTCAACACCATATAGCTTTAATATAAAACAACAGAGTCTATCAGAATACAAAATAACCCATTTACTGTACATGGACATCAAATTATACAGCTCAACAAAGACCTAAATGAGAGGCCCACTTAAAATCGTAGAGGACGTTACAACAGACATTGCTATGGAGGTTGGTATAAAGAAGTGTAGAATGCTGATTGTTAAAAGAGGAAGATGGAAGGATGAAATATCATCTGAAACACTACAGGAACAAATTTTGAACAAAATGCAAGAAATAGAAACCTATAAGTACCTAGGATTTTTATTTATTTTTTTTTATTTTATTTTATTCACCTTAGATTTACAATGTAAATGTGGCTTTGTCACAATATTGAATCATGATAATAGTAAAAAATATAGTAATAATAAAAAAATAATAGTAGGCACTTAATAATAAAAAATTAACAATAATAACATCAAGTATTTCAATAAACTTAGTATATAAACAGTCACAACAATTATTATATAACATAGAGCAACTAAATCGCGTTGACGTAGAGAGACATAGTATTAAACATTCCCATTTACATTTTTATTCATAAAGTCACTAAAGGAATAGAAACAATTTTCGCAGAGAAATTGCTTCAATTTAACTTTGAATCTTTTTTCAGTCTGTTCAGTCTTTATTTCTCCTGGTAGTCTATTGTAGACCTTTATACATGCATATTGAGGAGACTTCTCAAATAAAGCAGTGCTATGTCGTGGAAGGCTAAGTTCGTTGCTTTTCCTGGTAGAATATAGATGATTTTATCCATTTTTTAGAAATCTATCTTTGTTTTTATATACATATATCGCACACTTATATATATAGATGGACGGAAGAGTAAGTAGTTTTTGATCCTTGAAGGTTGGACTGCAGCTTTCCTGTGGTTTAAGGCCATATATTAACCTTACTCTCCGCTTTTGGATGATGAATACTCTACCCACGCCAACAGCTTGTCCCCATAGAATGATATTATAAGACATGTGATGGTAGGCTAGGGCATAGTAAGCTGACAACAGCGCGTGTCTTTTTCTTCTAACAAAACACAAGAATAGACCACACTCTGATAAAAAATGAGCTCTTAAAACAATTCATCACTCAGTTAAGGTTCATCCTTAAATCAAACTTAAACTCAAGGAACATTTTCACAGCTATAAACACATTTTGCATTTCTCTTCTTACATTTTCCTTTGGAATAATAAAATGGACAAAAAAAGATTTGGACAGAAAACACCAGGTTACAAATAGTGAATTAACCAAAAACAGAAAACATCATCCCAATGCCTGCAAGGAACAGCTCATAATATAAAGACAAGAGGGAGGTAGAGGAATTATGGATATTCATTTGTTACATGTTAGACAAATAAAATCCTTAAGAAGATACTTTTACAATAAATCTTATTCATTGCATGAAGCGATAACCATTGTAGATAAAGATTATACACCGCTGAATCTATTATGCAAAGATTACCTATTGCTATGAGAAGAAACATACAAAGAGGAGATACTTAAACAGTGGGCTGGAAAAGCATTACACTCAAAGCATTTATACATAATAAAACATGAGAACATAGACAAATAAAATACATACAAATGGCTGCAGAAAGGAGCACTTTTTCCTGAAACAGAAGGTTTTGTTCTTGATATCCAAGACAAAGTGATTGCGACAAAAAGCTACCAAAGACATATAATAAAAACACAAACCAATGATGACACATGCAGGGGAGCACAGGAGGGTGCAAAATTTCAGCAGACACTGCATATACAGCTGAAAATATTCTTGAAAACCAAAGCTGCAAACTATATGATCTCACAATTCACACGGATAAAACAATCTCTGTTGATAGACCAGACATAACACATAGATAAAATTAAAAAAATAACCTATCTCATTGACATATCCATTCCAACAGATGCTAATATAGGAAAAAAATATAGTGAAAAAATTGAAAAATATACCCCGCTTGTGATCGAACTACAAAGAATATGTAATCAAAGTCATTACATCATTCCATGCATAATTTCTGCCACAGAGATCACCCATATAAAATGTATGCAACATCTTAAGGACCTTAGCTTAAACGAGTTCATACATCATCAAGTTCAGAAGGCGGTTATTCTTAAAGTATGCAACATTGTAAGATTATTCTTGAGACAATAGTACTCTCTGTAGAGATGTAAAAAAACGGTTTTTTTTCAGATTTGAAAAAAAAAACATTTAAGAAAAACCAGAAAAAAAAACGTTTTTTTTTTGTTTTTTCCTAAATGATTCAAATGTAAAAAATAGTAGATTATACCACGAGTCAATAATGATAGCTATTATTCCCGAGGATTATTACGAACTGAGCCGCGTTAGCGGCGAGGGAGTAACATTCCGAGGGAATAATAGCCATTATTGCGAGTAGTATACTCTACTTTATTTACGACAAATTAATTTATTTGAGATTTTCAATGAACAAATTTCATCCGTCTCATAGTTTTCAATACAAATCCACAAGCACTACACGTTTGACACTGACACTTTTGTGGAATAATGACCATTAATCCCGCTACTCGTCATTAATCCCTGGAGGAATAACATATGTCATTATACTGCCAAAATTACAAATATAATACGCACATTATACATTAGTCGTAAATAAACAGGTTTTTTTCAAAATAAAGAAAAAAAACATGAAAAAAAACTAGAATAAAAACACGTTTTTGTGTTTTTTCCCAAATAATTTAATTTTAAAATTCGTATCTCCAAAAACGGACATTTGATAACCCTGGAGACGGAGTTACAGTCTGAAAATTCTTCAGACAGCGAAAGTGTCTCATATCAGTGATGTTCTGTTCTAGTATGTATGTTATATGAATATGATGAATGTATGATGTGATATATGTGTGATATAATATGATAGTTGATACATTGATGTAGGTACCATGTACCTGACCTGACAACATGTTTTATTTACATAATAATATTTTTCCTATGTTATTTCTAGAATAAAGCAATATTTTACGTTTTATCCACGACCATATTTCACTATTTGAACCTCGATTTGAACCAATTTCTTGTCCCAAGAAAGGTTTAATTGGCAAAAAAACGTAAAAAATGCGCATAGGGTACTAAGTTTAGAAAAAAACACAAAATCTGAAAAAAAAACATTTGAAAAAAAACCATGAAAAAAAACCATGAAAAAAAACCTGAAAAAAAAACAAAAAAAACGGATTGTTTTTTTTCATGTTACATCTCTAACTCTTTGTTCAAACTTGGTATTTTATACCCGTTGGAACAGAAAATGTCTGGTTATTTTCTGTTCCAAGAGCCGAGTAACAAAACAAATAATAATAAAAAAAATCTAAGCAGAAAAATATCCTGTTCCAATCTGTATTAAAATGAAGAAGCCGTCAATTTTATTTAATGTATTTTTGAGTTCTATGTAGGATGCGAGGAAGGATGTACCTATGTATTAACAAATAGGCTTAACCCAAACTGAGCTAATTATTATAGAATTTCCACCATTTGAACTAGTGTTTCCCCTCATACAACATAATAAAATTCACCCTCGATTTTACCTTTTGTGGCTCCTCGTTTATTATTAATTGGAGTGTTATTACTCTTATTAGAAAAAGCCAATCCCTCGTCAAATTTCTTGCTTAATTCAATATCAATCGGTTTGCTGACGTTTTGCACTCCGTTAATCTGATTTTGTTTGGAATTATTCAAGGTTTCAGAAGTACTATGACATCTGGGAGCCTTACTAGGCTTGCGTAAAACAACTGTGCTTAAAGCTGTATCTTCCACTGGTTTTTCGATGAATTTCAGGCTTGTGATATCTGCAGCACTAAAATACATTTTTATATATAACAACAAAAGGTTTTAAGCTAAATTAATCCTTACTTAACATGAATAGGTGTCTGGCAAGGCAGTCCATCACAAAAGGCCTTCGTTAAAGTAATCCTGTCTGGATTGGCATCCAAAATTTCACCCTGGTAATTGCCCAACTCGCCTGAGCATTTTATTGAAACCATACTTCCTATCCACTGTGCCATTTCTTTACAAATATTTATAGCACGGAGGATTTAACAAGTTAATAAATAAAATAAACTTTTTTTTTGACCTACAAAAAAAAGGACAATGGTGAGGCCTGAATTTGAGTATTTATTGAATTTTAGGATTACCGTAAATGCTTGTTGAGTTATTTTGGGGCTTAAATATTAATCGAAGATCCAAGTGGACTTTTTTAATTAGAAGTATTGAAAATATTGAATCTTTTATCACCAAATAATCAACTCATCTCATACGCGCTAAACAAGGGATTCATTCTAGACTGAAAGATTGAATGAAATGATAGGTGAAAGGATGTTGCCAAATTTTTCCATTTAATTTACACTAACTTTTTTTTTAAATGCATTTTAAAGATTGTACACTGAAAATAGTTCTTTTCAAATATAATTTGCAGTTTTTTATTTTGCTATTATCGACATTTTTGTTTGTCTTATTTAGCAACAATCGATCGAGAAATAAGATTTTCTCCTTCACCTAGGATCATTTCGGATACGATATGCTAAATTTGGCAACATCTTGTTTTTATCCGCCAGCTGATGCTTTGACAACTTTTAGCGCTGCTGCCAACTCAACCAAATTTTCAAGTTTGTAGTTTTATTTTGAGAAAATAATTTGTTGTATTTTATGAAATATTGTTATTGTTATTATTAGAAATTACAAATGTTTAATTTTAAAGGGTCTTTAACATTTAAAACAAGAAAATTTGATGGTATTTCTGATAGATCAAAGAAGAACCATTGATAGTATTGTCACTTGTGAATTGGCAAATGGCAATTGGCAACATCGCATGTACCAGAGTTTGTTTTATTTTTCAATTTTCAATAATTCCAATTTGGTAAGTCCAAGTCCGCAAGTCCTCGTTTTTCCTAATCCTTTTTACGTTGCCCTAGGCTATTGTAAATTGTAATACTTTAGTAAATTTCAATCAGTATCACATTTTTCCAAGAAATTCTCATAGAAATCTCTCCCGAACTCACCAAATATGGTAATAGAAATCAGCCAAGAGACATTCGATGATGCAGTGAAAGAAAATGTGGAAATTCTAGGGCTCGGTGAGGAAGAAGCCGTGGAAGAGGCCGTAAAGCAATTTGAGGCTCAGGTAAGAACCGGTTAAAATGACAGTTTTTTGACAAAATTCACTAGTGCATTTCATCCTAATCTATACATTTATTCATTTCACAGGGAGTCGATCTCAGTAAAATCATCAAAGACCAAATGTCCAAGCAACAGTACGAAGAAATTACCGCTGCAGTTCAAAAAGTGGAACAACTTCAAAAAACTAAAGGGGATGTCGATAATATAAACAAAGCTTTAGACGATTTACGGCTGGAATGCGACAAAGGAATTCAGTATAAAATTGCAGCAGGCAAGGCAGAAGCCTATCACATTTTGCTTAATACCTATGAAGCTTTCTCAGACAAAACTGTAAAAATCAATGCCTTAAAAACTCTTCTTTCTTTAATGACCAAACAGCCAGACTTGTTGGATGATAGAGGAGTGGCCTTTATTATTAATAATTTGAAAGTTCAGCCCCAGGACGTAGAAATACAAAAACTGATACTCAAATGGGCCAAAGAGTGTTGCGTTATGCACGAAAAAAACAGGCAAAAAATCTATGATTCTCATATAGTAGATGTGATAAAAAATCAGCTTGATGATTTAACCCCAGTAGAAATTATAAGGGAAACTTTGTCGGTTTTCAGAGCTCTTGTTTTGGACGACGATGTTAGAGTGGAATTTGGTAGAGCACATGAACACGCCAGAGTAATTGCTAGCGAAACTCTGTGTTCTATCATGAATCTTTTGACAAGATTTCGAGGCGAAGAACAGCTAAATTTGGACATAATCGTAACACTCACTGCACTAATGGTGCGGGCTGAATTTTGTAAAAAAGTCGAAGACGCTGGGGGCTTGGAGCTTATCAAAACTGTTATGGAAACTTTTTGTAACAGTGGAAGAATAATAAGGCAATCTTTCAAGTTGATCAAAGCTCTAGCTGGCAATGACGAATGCAAAGCTCACATGCCCAAAAAAGGATATGTTTCTATTCTTAGAGATTCTATTAATGCTAGCATGGTAAGTGCATACTATATAATTTTAGCAAATAAATACTTACCAGTTGAAGACTTGGCAAAGTATCTAGTAATAGTAATAGTGTTGAGAGCACTATTTTCCAAGATGTTGATTCCATTTTTTTCGATTCCCACTTTTCTATAAGTATTTAAAATAATTTGGTTTATCTGTTTTTCTTCAAAATCAATGTCACAATGAATGTATTGATAACCAGAGATACTCTATTTAAGCAGAGCAATCTTCTTTATATTTTGCAATCTTGCTTGGATTTTTTTCAGCACATATTTGGTGAATATTCCAAAAAATCTGGTAGCCCTAACAATGGACTAAACAACACTAAGACTCAGGAGAGTGAGAAACATCGCTTTGTCCAACATATTATTTTATGTTGGAATATGGCAATACCAGTGAAGAAAAGATTTTAATTTCTGTTAGGAGGGGATGACATTCATAATAGATCACCCTGTACATACCTATACTCCTGTTCCAAGTTTCAATTTTTTTTTTCACCATTTCGATGACAATTCAGTGTATTTTTTTAAGACTTAGGTATAAAAAAAATTGTGTTTCACATTCATTGCGAAAGATACCTTTCACACACAAACTTCTCTCAAATCAATTTCTTAACTTATTATAATTTTTTGCAGGATAGTGCTCAGACAGTTACAGCTGGCTTATCCGCAGTAGCGGCCTTAACCCTCCGCAGTCCGGAAAACAGTAAACAATTCTTTGACGAAGGCATTCCTGAAGTAATAGTTACAGCAATGAAAAAACATGATAGTGATAAAGCTGTTCAAAAGACAGCCAGTTGGGCTATAAGAAACATGGTTTCCAGAAGCAAATATCAATCGGCTAAATTTATTGAAATTGGAGCTGAGGAGGCATTGAGGAACGATTTGAAGAATTTTAAAGAGATTGAATATGATGTTAAGGCTGCTCTGAGAGATTTAGGTTGTAAGGTGAATTTGAAAGAAGAATGGACTGGAAAAGGGGGTGCTTTAACTAATAGGAATGCTAAACGTGATAATGAAAACGATAACGAGTATGAGGACTGAGACTAATCATTTTTATTTTTGAAAAACTTCTCTTAAATAATTGCATATTATATAATTAACACAGGCTTTATTATTTTCAATTTCTCAATTGTTTTATTGCAATGTTTGGCTTTGGTTCCTATTACAACAAAGCTTTAATTTTAACTTTTCATTTTTATACAATTTTATATTTAATATATTAATAAAAGCATTGTTATTCCGATTTTTTTTTCTAAATTAATTTAATTGGAGGAACAATATCAGGCTTAAATCTGGAAAGAGTACAATAAAATTAAGAATGTCAATTGAAATTAAGTGTGATATGTAATTTTGTTGAAAAGAATAGAATATTAAATGCAAATCAGTTTGGATTTAGGAGGAAAATGTCAACGAATAATGCGCTACAGTTGTTTTCGGATACCATTTATGGGCTTTTAGACCAAGGAAAACCAACCATGGCAGTATTTTTAGACCTAGCCAAGGCCTTCGACACTGTAGACCACAACTTACTTTTAGAAAAACTATATAAGATTGGAATGAGAGGCACTGCAATTGACCTTCTGAAGGATTATTTAAGTGATAGAAAACAAACAGTAAAGATAGGTAATGTATACAGTGATGAACTTTCTGTTAAGATAGGTGTCCCCCAGGGTACAATTCTGGGGCTATTTTTCTTTGTTGTCTACATTAATGATCTTCTAAATCTAAACTTTGGTGATGTCATTCTATCTTATGCAGATGATACAACAATCATTATTTCAGACAGGTCTTGGCGGGGTCTGGAAGTTAAAGCAAATATGGTGGTAAACAGTGTGGCTTCTTGGTTGAGACAAAATAAATTATCTGTCAATGTTGAAAAAACAAAATATATCTTATTTAGTATTTATAATGACAATGTTCCTGTTTCACTGAATGTGATTGTACATGAATCAGATGAGGAGATGGGTACCGTGTGCAGATGCAGATCCTTGATAAAAACGGAAAAACATAGGTTTTTAGGTGTAGTTGTGGACAATAATTTAAAATGGAAAGAACACCTTTTACAAACAAACAAAAAACTAAGATACCTAATTTTTGTATTTGCAAAACTTAAGTCCATATTGAACACAAAGACGCTCTTGATTTTGTATTATGCATTGTTTGAATCTGTGGCTGCATATGGTGTTGTCTCGTGGGGTAGTGCATATAACAATGCAATTAAGTTTGTACAAAATATTCAAAATAGAGTAGTGAAACTTATATTTCAAGTAAGAAGTCATCAATTAGATAGGATATACAAAGAAAGTATGATATTGAAAATAAAACAAATTTATTACTTTAAAACTTTAATCATAAACTTTGATTATCTTAAGTCCTGTTTCAATAGTAGAAACGTTTCCACCAGAAACAGAAGCATTCCATGTATCCAAACTTCACTTGAGGTTGGCAAAAAGGCTTCAAAAATTAGTGCGATTAAGATTTTTAATCTTCTACCAAATGAATTAAAACTTTCTGCTAGAGTAAGTAAAATTTTTAAAAATAGAATCAAAAGTTTTCTAATAAATTCAAATATAAATTTATAATATAATTATAGTATAATGTAGGGAAAAAGAAAAAAAAAAAGAATTCATCTTGTGAGTATGAATTTTGTTAGCATAACTATTTATTTTTACAAATATACATTTGTTATATAATGATTGTTACAAACACAATAACTGAAATGTTGCTCTTACATTAGGAATTTTTTTTAAGTTGTACGACTTGAAGTGTGGTAATTTGCTCATTATCATACTTTAAGTAAGGGTGTGCACCTTTAGTCATAGGTTGATGGTGGAGCTCTGTGAGGCTGCATTCATTGTATATGCTGGTCTGCAGAGTTTCACCAGCTAGGCCTGCATACAGACTTTGTTGTCTCTGCAGGATATACTGTACATTGTAGTAGTGTGAGCTATTGTATGTACTCGTGTATTGATTGTTATTCACCTGGTAATAAAGAATTTGAATTTGAATGTAACAGCTGGACAAAATCATTAAATCACAAAACTCCCATTGATGTCATATAAGGTCCGTCGATTTTTATCTGATACTCGAAAGGAATGTGAGCTGGTGGCACCAGGGTTCGAAAAAACCTACGATTTAGGAAAAAAAAATTAGGTTTTTAGGTTTTTTGAGGCTTTTCGGGTGTTTCAGGTTTTTTAAGGTTTTTTTAAGGTTTTTAAGGTTTTTTATTACCTTACAGTTGTAACACATTATTGGTGATGTACAGGGTGTCCGAATTTGGATGGTTTTAATAGGAAACATCAATTTCTGAGCAAGATACAAAAATTGATTTTGGTAAAAGCTTTTTGAAATCACTTTTTTAAGCAGAACTCCGTGACGTTCTCGGTTTTTCTCTAGTTGCTCCAAACTCCGAGATATTGACCAAAGTCTGTTTTTTTTCAATAGGACACTCTATATATTAATAGCTCATTAGAAAGCTCGGCTTTTTCTGGTTTCAATGATAAAAGTTCGATAGGTTCATCTCTAATAGTTTTCGAGAAAAAAAATTATTTCGGTTTTTGTCATAAGAAGCAATGTGTAAGAAAATGACTTTATATCTGTAAGGAAACTGTGAAAGGTCTCTTTCTAACTCATTGTTTCTTATGACAAAAGCCGAAATATTTTGTTTCTCGAAAACTGTTAGAGATAAACCTATCGAAATTTGTATCATTGAAATCAGCAAAAGCAGAGCTTTCTAATGAATTATTAATATATAGGGTGTCTCATTGAAAAAAATCGTATTTTGGTCAATATCTTGAAATCGAGGCCGAATAGAAAAAAACTGAAAACGTCACTGAATTCTGCTTGAAAAAGTGCTTCTAGGAAGTTTTTACGGAAATCAGTTATTTTCATAAACAAAAAAGTTATGAAGATTTCACAGTATTGCCCAAAATCGAGAATCGCCCTCCAGCGGCTAAACGGTTGAAGATATCAAAATGCGGTTTGCACCAATCAAAGCACCAAGAAATTCGAGCCTCGGAGTGGGGGGTTCATTTTTTTGTATCTCGCTCAGAAATTGACGTTTCCTATTAAAACCATCCAAATTCGGACACCCTGTACGTACCTCGGTACGTACAGGGTTATTGGAATGTCACCCCCCTCTATCTTTTTTATTTGACATTTTAGAAAAAAGTGTCTCAAATAAAAGTTTTATGGTTGAAATAAATTTTTTTGAAAAACTCACTTTCGCATATACAAGGTGTTTCAGAAAAGCTAATCGTGCTCCAACTTTCTTATTTTAAATGGAATACCCTGTATATTATTGAATATTCGGATTCTACATAAAATTCTGAACAGATTTCATGTGATATACCCTATACCTAAGTTCAACTGTTTTGGAAATATTGACAGTTGAAAATTGGCTCTTTTGCAACTTTGATAGGCTGTAAAACCTAAACGGTTAAAGGAGCATTTACATTCACTCCCAACTTCAAGTTAAATATGACGTTTGATATTTTATCATTTACATTGCAGAACAAAAACGTCAAGTCAAAACGTCAGAATTTTATGAGAATCAAATGGATAATTTAAAAATTTGACATTTCACAAATTTCTGCTTGCCCCCGGCAAGCAGCTTGCCCAAATTTAAAGTGCACTTCGAAGTGAACTTCAAATTTATTTCAATGTAAATGAATCTGTGCTGTCGCCATATGGCAAGCACATCAATTTCAAGACAAATTGGACTTTGAAGTGAATGTAAATGAACCATTAATTTTAGAGCAAAACCGATCTTACATTTTTATCTTAGAATTTCACTATCAATTGACACTGATATTTGACATACCAACTTCGAATTTAATCCATGATTGAAAATTCCGATTAAATTTAATCTCCGGTTAAATTCAAAGTTGGTGTCAAATCATAGCTTATGAAAATCTAAGAAAAAAATGTAAGATCGGTTTTGCTCTAAAATTAACCGTTTAGGTTTTACAGCCTGTCAAAGTTGCAAAAAAGTCAATTTTCAACTGTCAATATTTCCAAAACAGTTGAACTTAGGTATAGGGTATGTCAAATGAAATCTGCTCAGAATTTTATGTAGAATCCGAATATCCAATAATATACAGGGTATTCTATTTAAAATAAGAAAGTTGGAGCACGACCAGCTTTTCAGAAACACCCTGTATATTCAAAAGTGAGTTTTTCAAAAAATTTAATTTCAACCATAAAACTTTTATTTGGGACACTTTTTTCTAAAATGTCAAATAAAAAAGATAGAGGGGGGTGACATTTATAACCAATAACCCTGTACCTATGTTAAATTTTAAATTATTCACATAATGATAGCTAAACCAATAACCAATAAATATAACATTATAATAACATAGATATAGAATTCTGGAAAGAAATAGTTAACAATATTAGGTAAATAGGTAGTGTGGTCGTGTTTTTTATTTAAAAAAAAAAAAATCTAAAAAACCTAAAATGCCCATATTTTAGAAAATAGGTTTTTTGGAAAAGAAAAACCTAAAAAACCTAGGTTTCAAAAAACCTATACCTGCCAACTCTGGGTGGCACCCTACATTAGAACGCCAATGATCACCTGACGTCACACCTGTTTTTGCCATAAGCCTCACCCCCTCGCTCCTCATAAAGAAAATGTCAGGTAAAAATCGACGTACAATACTTGGATTTTACCAAAACATTCGACCGAGTCCCAAGCCAGAGGCTTCTGCCAAAACTGGATAATTTTGGTGTGAGGGAGGATTTACTACTTTGGAACAAAAACTATCTTACAAACAGGGAGTTCAACATACTGTCCAGTACAAAGTGGTGTATCCCCCCAAGGCTGGGTACTTGCACCTCTGTTGTTTGTAACTTACACTATACAACTTCTGTTGTTTGTAACTTATACTATAGATCTCCTCAACCTAATAGGCGGTTACACACGGACGTGAATGTCTGAAAACATGTACAGGGTATTTGATTATATTTGGCACCATACCTACAGCCTTTACTATTCAAGATAGAAAAAAAATTCAAATACAAAACTTTACAGATTTTTTCTATATTTTCTCTTAACGTTATCAGAAAAAACAAAATCGCATCGGAAAATGGAGAAACGTAGGCAACATCGACTTTTTTTAATAGAACACCCTGTATATTATGCGATAAAATGAAAGATCTTTTCTTCCTGATTCCAAATATATATAAATTTATCACATTTGGGTGAGCCGTTTTTGATAAATTTTACCTTAAATTATAAATAAAATCAAAAGAAATTTTATAAAGATTTAAATGTCTTGCCATCCTTATGAAATTTCTGTGCAAATAATTCATAATTTAAGCTAAAATATATCAAAAACGGCTCACCCAAATGTCATCAATATATATATATTTGGAATCAGGAACAAAAAAATCTTTCATTTTATCGCAAAATATACAGGGTGTTTCATTTAAAAAAGTCGACGTTGCCTACGTTTCTCTATTTTCCGATGCGATTTTGTTTTTTTTTGATAACGTTAAAAGAAAATATAGAAAAAAACTGTCAAGTTTTGTATTTGAATTTTTTTTCTATTTTGAATAGTAAAGGCTGTAGGTATGGTGCCAAATATAATCAAATACCCTGTACGCACATACACGAACGCACAAACAAAAACATCAATGTGTATGCAAAATACCGTTGCGTTTTTGCTAGAAATTTTGAATGCACACTCGGAGCCAGAATAGCAAGACTACAATTTTAATAGTTTTGTGCGAACGTCTGTACAAAGGCGTCATGCACGTTTTAGTTTGCACGTTGATGTATGCACGTATATGTATTAAGCCATCCATGCGCCATGTGTAACCGCCTATAAATATCAGCATGTGCAGCGTTCGCCCACGACATAAAAACTTATGGTAATAGGAAGGTTCGACATTTTTTGTTATTCTTTTATTTAAACTGGAATCGAGAGCTTTTATTATTAGAAAACGATCAAAAAAAATTTGAGCGCAAAATATTAATATTTGCGTTTGTTTCGAGCAGTTAAAAATCAACGATCGGCGCTAGGATAAAAAACGTACCTCTACGCGAGAGGCTGCATGACGTCAGTCGCCGGGTACGCCACGTGAATTCATATAGCCTCTGTATTGGCCTTTACGCAAACGCTGATCCGATTAACCCAATCACCACCTGATGTAATTTGTCTTTTGTCAATCGTGTTCATTGAAGAAAGATGGAAAATAGACAGCTTGTGATCGGATCAGCGTAAAGGCTCATACGGAAAGTAGGTATACGAATTCACATGGCGTGCCGGCTACTGACGTCACGCGGCCTAATCTCGCGAACAGGTACGTTTTTTATTCTGCGCCGATCGTTGATTTTTAACTGCTTGCAACAGACGCAAATATTAATATTTTGCGCTCAAATTTTTTTAATCGTTTTTTAATAACAAAATCTCTCGATTTCAGTTAAAATTAAAAAATGTCGAACCTGCATATTCTGCAACACAATGACCTTAAAGTTCTGATAACCAAAGACTTGACTTGGTCAGCACATGTAACAACAATATGCAAAACAAAACAGCTAACAGCAAGTTATTCCTCCTAAAGAAGGTTTTCCCAAACACCCCCAAGAATTAAGTGTTTACAAAACTGTAAAACATATACTTCAGGCCAATCCTAGAATATGCAGGTTAGGCTTGGCAACCAGACC